CTTTGTGACCCCGTGGACTGCAGCCCGCCAGGGTCCTCTGTCCATGGGATTCTGCAGGCAAGAATACTACGGTGGGTTGCCATGCCCTTCTCCAGGGGAATCTTCCAGACTCAGGGGTCAAACCCAGGTCTCCTGCATTGTAGGTAAACTTTTTTACTGTCTGAGCCACCCAGGGAAGCCCAACCCGAGAGGAAGGGACAAACCTGCCCACAATGATCCCCTGCTGGGAGGCCAGGGGTGGGGGAGGCCATGGTGTTGTGTGCCTCCGGGCAGTTCCCTGCGCCTCTCTGGTCATGAGGCCTCACCCCTAACTGGGCCGTGAGGGTTCTACTAGGCTGGCAGTCTTGTAAATTGTCTTTTAATAGCAGAATGGTTTCTGGCAAATAGTCTCAGGTGGGAAGTCCATACATAAAAGTGATCAGATCTACAGCCATACCACCCAGAATGCTCCTGACCTTGTCAGATCTCAGAAGCTAAGCTTGGCTGGTCCTGGTTTGTACTTAGATGGGAGAAAAGTGATCCGAGTACGGCCGGCGTGTGGGGGGTGGTCAGTGTTTGCTGGTAGAGGCCCCCAGGGCCTTGCTGCTCAGCCTACTCTTCCGTCACTCTGCTATGACCCTTGGAGCCCTCCAAGGACCTGGGCCCTGTGATCAGAGTGCAGCCCAGCTTGGAGAAACCAGGGTAGGCTTCCTGTAGGAGGCGGCCCTGGGACTAACCCTTGAAGGCGAGTGAGGCTGCTCAGAGGCCCCCGGTGGGAGGGGTTGTGTCCGGCCCTGCCCCAGCCCCTCACAGCTCCTGTCCACAGGCCTGCTGCTGCCCTGGCGCTGGCTGGCCGTGGCCGGGGAGGGGCCGGTGCTCATCATGGTGCTGCTGCTCAGCTGTATGCCCAACTCCCCTCGCTTCCTGCTGTCCAAGGGCAGGGACGCGGAGGCGCTGCAGGCGCTGGCCTGGCTGAGAGGGGCCGATGCCGACACCCGCTGGGAGTTCGAGCAGATCCAGGACACCGTCCGGAGACAGGTGTGTGCAGGGTGGGTGTCCTGCAGCGCTGTGGGAGATGGGCCATTCACACCACTGGCGTGAGCCTTGGTTACCTTTCTTGGAGAGCAGGGATGAGAGCAGTTCCCACCTCCAGGAACGAGGGGTTGGGGCGGGACATCTCAGGGCCTGGCCCAGGGTGTGTATGCGCCACGTGGTGGAGGCCCGGGGCCAGCCATGTTGCCATCGGGGGGCCTGCCTCAGCCCACCTGCTGACCCGGGAGCCTGGGTCCCTTGGGGGTCCCCAGAGGTAGGGCTGCCCCAGGGGCAGGGACCTTTCCTGGAAGAGGGAAGAAGGGAGCCTCCTGCCTAGCGCCGGGCACCCTAGGCCAGGGTGGCTCCAGCCGGAGGGGCCGGCACAGCCCCCTGCAGCGGCAGCCTCGTGTCTCCAGAGCAGCCACCTGTCGTGGGCCGAGGCCCGGGACCCCCACATGTACCGCCCCATCGTCATCGCCTTGCTGATGCGCTTCCTGCAGCAGCTGACGGGCATCACGCCCATCCTCGTCTACCTGCAGTCCATCTTCGACAGCACCGCGGTCCTGCTGGTGAGAGCCCGCCCACGCTGCCCCCGGGCCCAGGGAGGCCGTGCCCGCTGAGTGCCCGCCCTGTCCAGGGCCAGGGGTGCACCCACGTCTCCTGTTTCCGCGCTGCCCGCCTGTCCTCAGAGTAACGTTTGTGAGTAAAGCTCGCGTGCTTTATAAATAAGATACCCGGAATTACAAAGGAGACCAGTCTTCTAGAAGAACAGACCCCTGGGAGCTGCAGATCCCAGGCTCAGAGCATCTGTCACTTGCTGAGGAAGTCAGTCCCCATGCCCCAAACCTCAGCTTCCTCCTCTGTGAACTGGAGATAATAGCCAGCAGGCCTTCACCCGCCTACCCTGGGCTCAGAGATGAGATGAGATGTGAAGATTAGTAGGAGCAGTGGTGCCAGGATCCCGTACCAGCTCCGGGCTTAGTGGTGGGCATGGCGGTTGTACCCCCTGCCAGCAAGGCCCCGCGGGCTGGGCTGGGTGACCGGTGCCACTGCCTGGCACAAAGCAGCTGAGCTGGGGCCTGCCCCTGTGGATCCTTGGGGACTGGGGTCCTCTGCCTCAGGGCCCCCTCCTTGCAGCCCCCCAAGGATGACGCCGCCATCGTGGGCGCCGTGAGGCTCCTGTCCGTGCTGATTGCAGCCCTCACCATGGACTTGGCCGGCCGCAAGGTCCTGCTCTTCATCTCGGGTGAGTGCGGGTGGGTCGCCTGCGCTTGCTTTTGCTCCTTCAGCTGCTGCCCTCGCGGTGGGAGCATCAGAGGGGGCCTGGGTCACAGCTGCCCTGCCAGGTGGACTTGGGTCTCCCCGGTGCCTGGCGCAGCAGGGCTGGACATCCAGAAAGGCCTGCTGGGGCTCGCGGGAGCGAGCACGCCGACTGTGACACACGCTGGGTGTGACGGCCCAGACGCCGGCAGGGCAGGAGCGGCCTGGAGGGCAGTGGGCGGCGCAGGTCACCGAGGGGCTCGGGCTCACGGTGTCCTGGCCCCCCGAGGGCCGCCGGTCTGTCCACAGCGGCCGGCATGTTTGCCGCCAACCTGACCCTGGGGCTGTACGTGCATTTCGGTCCCAAGTCTCTGGCCCCCAACAGCACCGTGGGCCTGGAGCATGCGGCCCTGGAGGGCACGGAGCAGCCCCTGGCCACACCCACCAGCTACCTCACCCTGGTGCCCCTGCTGGCCACCATGCTCTTCATCATGGGTAGGTGCGGCCGTGGAGGGGTGGGGGCGGGCCAGCATCATGCGCTCGGATGGGTTGGGGTGCTGTCTGGGTGGTTGGGGAGGGTCTCCCAGCAGCTCCAGGGAGACACTGAGGCCTCCCCTGGCCCCCAGATGGGGTTTGAGCGCGCCCTTCCCCCCCCCACTCCCGGCAGGCTATGCAATGGGCTGGGGGCCCATCACCTGGCTCCTCATGTCAGAGATCCTGCCCCTGCGGGCCCGCGGCGTGGCCTCGGGGCTCTGCGTGCTGGTCAGCTGGCTCACTGCCTTTGCCCTCACCAAGTCCTTCCTGCTGGTGACGGTGAGTACTCGGCCCATGGGCCCGGGGGCCCCCCGGCCGGGCGTCTCCTTGTGTCCCCTCAGCCTCAGCACACGCTCCCTTCACACCAGGCCAGGGACCAAGTGACAGCGTAGTGAAGGCTCCTTCAGTTCAGCAAACACTCGGCTCAGGGAACCGTTGGGAGAAGTCAGGCAGCTGACCCCCAGACCGGGGTGGGACCACAGAGCCACGCCCGCCCGCCCTGCCGCACCCTCCCGGGCAGCGAGCATGGTCTTCCCGCCAGTGGGCAGCTCGGGTCTCTCGGCCGAGCACTTCCCCGTCCTAACTTCACTCTTGGCTCAGACTCGCAGCAGGCCCTGAAGCCAGCCGCAGTCCCCAGTGCCCAGGTGGGAGGCTCTGATGCGGACAGCTTGGCAGGGCCTGTCCTGGTGCACTCAGTGGATCAGGGCAGGGTGGGGGCACCCAGAGAGGTGCCAGCAGGAGGCAGGGCGATGGTGGGGAGGAGGGGGCGGCAGGCAGAGTAGGTGCATGCCCCCAGCCGTGCCGTGGTGGCAGGCCTGCTGCAGGCAGGTGCGTGGGAAGGCTGAAAGGTAAGGTGGGCTTTGGAACCAGGGAGAGGCTGGTGTCTGGGGCCAGGGTGGGCTCCAGCTCAGAGGAGGAGGTCAGTCCCAGGGCCCAGCACCAGAAGGGGCCTGCCTGCAGCCCTGGAGGGCCCCGAACACCCTGCTAAAGCGGCTGGATTTCCTGCGGGTGGTGGGGAGCCCCAGGGTGTCTGACTGGTAATGAAATAGAGCGCCGCATCCCAGGCTGGCTAGCACAAGCTGAGCCAGAAACTGACGCTGGCTCCCCGTGACCCGTGCGCTCTCCCCCCCAGAACGCCTTCGGCCTGCAGGCCCCCTTCTTCTTCTTCGCCGCCGTGTGCCTGGTGAACCTGGCCTTCACCGGCTGCTGCGTGCCCGAGACCAAGGGCCGGTCGCTGGAGCAGATAGAGTCCTTCTTCCGCACCGGGAGGACGTCCTTCCTGCACTAGGGAGGGTCCCCGCCGGAGAGGGCCACACCCCTGGGCCGTGGAGCTGGGCTCTGGCCCCGAACCTGCACCCTGCATCCGGGAGGCAGCAGCAGCCCGCCGCCGACGACCCGGGCACAGGAGGGCGGCCCTGAGGCCTGACAGCCCTTGGAACATGTGCAGGCCCTGGGCAGGCAGCACCGCCGGCCAGCGGCGTCACACACCCGCCCGCCGGACCTGCCGACAGAGGCGGCCATCACACAGCCCCAGGCCAGGGACAAGGCCTCACTAGGATACCCCGTGCTGAGGACAGACGGGCCAGCACTGGTGGACTGGCTCTGCACAGGGACGCCGCCCCCACCCGGCTGCTCCCATCGCCTGGCGGCCGTGCAGGGACCAGGGCAGGAAGCTGCACCTGTGAGGCCTGTGGACACCACAGGGGACGTGCTGGACGCCCACCGGCCAGGGCACAGGACCCAGCATGGACTCTGCCTCCTACACCCGCCCGCTTCCGGAATAGGAAGTGCTTGAGGGCGAGCTGTGTTCACCGTATTTATACCAATAAATGAGAGGAGGGCGTGGGGAGTACTCCCGGTGGGGGAGCCCCCCAGCAGCCAGGTCAGACCCAAGACTCAGCTGAGGTCGCCAGGGCCTGCTGCCCCGGGCCACCGCAGTCTGCCCACAGCGAGGCAGAAGGAAGGGGTGAGAGCTGGGGGTCCCCGGCCGTGAGGTCCCAGCTCCTCCTGGCTGTGTGCTCGGAAGAGCCACCTGCGCCGTCTCAGATGCTGGGAGCAGGCCGCACGGCACCCCGAGGACACGGCGGGTTCCCCCGGGGCTGGGGGCCCCTGCTCAGCTGCTCTGGGGTCGGGGCGTCCCTTCCGGACCAGAGGGGAAAGGTAACGAGCAGAGCGCGGGAGCGAGCACACAGACCGCCATCAGGCTTTATTGCTCAAGACTCGAGGCAGACACGGAGAGTCGACAAGGGCCGTGGGGGACAGAGCCCAGACCCCAGGGCGGGCGAGCCCTGGCCACCTCGGCAGGTGACCTGCCCACTCTGGCCTATGACCCGGGAGCTGGACGGCCTGCCCAACACCCACCAGCTTCCTCAGAGGCCAGAGAAACAACCCTGCTCCACACACAGCCAGCTCTTCCCTCCTGCAGCCAGGAGACCCCATCAGCAGGGAGACCCCATCAGCAAGGAGACCCTGTCAACAGGGAGACCCCGGTCAGCAGGAGACTACCCCCATCAGCAGGGAGACCCAGCAGAGGCAGGAGTGACTCCAGAGCCCCACCTGCTGGGGAAGGATGAGCCAGGAAGGATGGGCAGGGCCTCGCTCCTCCAGGGAGGTAGACAGTCTGATCCGCGGCACACGCAGGAGACACACGCACACCCTGCCGGCCTGGAGAGGCCTACCACCCACAGCCCTCTGACCCCGGCACTGGCCTAAGGAAGGTGGTCCCGGAGGACCCCTGAAGGCACATGTCCCATGGGGCCGGCCGCACTGTAGGCCCTGCCACCCCGGAGCTCAGCCTGGCCGGGCTCCCAGGAGAGCTGCTGGGTGGGGGGTGCGCTATCCCCAGGACAGGGCCTGCCTCCCAGCCACCAACCCTAGCAAACCCCAGAGATGAAAGTCCATCTGGAAGCAAAGATCGGGTGCCGCCCTAGGGCTGGCTCCAGAAGGCGGGAGCAGCCCTCCAGGCTCCTGGGAGGGGCAGAGGCAGAGCCCCAGAGCCGCGCACGGCTGGCCCCAGCCGGCCAGGCCCGGGGGAGAGGCCTGCTCCTGTGCTCCACCACAGTGACGGGACCGGGGCCAGAGCACGCCCCGGCCAGCGGTCAGGCTGCCAGGGCTACCAGCAGAGGCACCAGAGGGGCATCTGGGGGTCCCCGTGGAGGAGACTGGTGGGGCCTGGGCAGTGGTGGGAGGCCGGGGTGGCCAGGCAGAAGCGGCCCAGGAAGCTCAGCTCATGGAGTACGCTCCTGCCTGGGGGGCCAGGAGGCCCGAGTGGACGTGCCCCCACCTGGAGAAGGGACCGACGTCCCCAGGAGCAGCTCCTCCCAGGCCTCCGGCCGGTCACAATGGGTGGTCCCGCCAGCCACATGAAGTCTCGAAACCCACCCCATGGCCTGCGGTCGGCCAAGCCGGGCCAGCTGGGAACAGCGGGGCCAGGGGGCCATCTGTGCGGAGCCCTGCAGCTGGTCACCCGAGGCTCCCTCTGCTCGCTCTGCGGCCTCTGGTGAGGCCCTCACCCTGCCCCTCGGTGCTTGGCTCGGGGCGATGCCAAGGGCGGGGCACGGGGGGGGCAGAGGAGGACTCCATGCGTGGGGACAAGTGAGAGGGGCTGAGAGAACCAGACACGGGCTCCTCCCCAGACCCCTCGGGGTCCACGCTCACACAGACCAGGGGGCGAGCGGGGGCAGGAGCGCCCCCCGGCCCCCTCACAGCTCCCCCTCCAGGGCGTCTGTGAGCTTCTCCTCATCCACCTGCTGCCTCTGCTGCTGGATCCTGGCGTAGGAGATCGCATCGCCCCTGGGGAGACAGGGCAGTCAGCGCCACACGGGGCACAGACCCCAGACATGCAGCCGCCCAGCCTCTGCCCCGTTCCTGGCCTGGGGCCCTGGGGGTGCCTGCCTAGCACCTGATGACACCCCCTGGTTTCCCGAGATGAGACCCTGTCACTAAGGATGGCAAAGACCCATCCTGTCGCTTCTGAGAGTGGCCTGGGCTGCCAGGGACGTGACTTGAGGAGGACTGGGACCCTCGGGCTGGGCTCTGCGGGACTGGGGGGGCGTGGGAACACCGAGCCGGGCGCGGGCCCTCTGGGCAGAGGCTCTCCAGGAGCTGTGCCCCTGCATCCCTGCCATCCCGCGCCAGGGGTCGCGTGAGTTCTCCTGCCTCCATCCCTTAGAGCTCAGACACCTGGGAGACGCTGACGAGGGTCACTGATGGCGGGAAACAGGGCCGCTCCCAGACCTGTGTCCAAGAGGCTCCGGATGGAGAGACCGCCCCCACCCTCACCCCCACCGCAGCCGGGCCGGGGCCAGCAAACGCACCTTTTGCCCAGCGCAGACAGCCCATACAGGACTCCGGTGGCGAAGGCGATGGCGTTGCCCAGCAGTGTGGTCAGGGTCAGGCTGATGACGATGGGAACAACCGCCATCCTAGGGGAGAAGCAGAAATCAAGGGGCATGCCCACCCACCCATGGCCATGACACCACTTCCTGCTGCCCAGGCTCACCCAGCCCCTTCCCGGACAGCGGGCACAGGAAGAGTGCCCCGGCATCAGCCGGGACACAGGTTCACAATCGGGCTTCACAGAGTCCTCAAACACCATGAGCCTGTCTGCAAAGTTCTGCGCGCTGGGGAGAGAGCCCAAAGCTTTCATCGGATTTTGGGGAGACTACCCTGGTGGCTCAGTGGTAAAGAACCCACCAGCCGATGAAGCAGACACGGGTTTGATCCCCAATCACCCCCATGCCACTGAGCAACGGAACCCATGGGCCCCAACTCCCGCGCTCTCGCTCAGAGAGCCCACGGTCTGCAGCAGGAGCCACGCGACGGGAAGCCTGCAGACCACGGCCCAAGAGCAGGCCCACCTGCTGCGACCAGAGAAGCCTGGACAAAGCAGCAAGGGCCTGGCACAACCGAAACACAGATAAAATTATTTAAAAAAAAAAAAAGGTTTTTGAAAGGGTCCGTGATCCAAAAAGGCTGAAACAGCACTGAGATGGTTCAAGCCCTCAATGTGCATAGATACAGGCAGAGGAGAAAAATCCGGTCGTCAGGTCAGGCCCGTGCTGGCCTTGTGACTCACAGCATGTTATTCAACTGAGGCTCAATCTTGCTATGGTGAGGTGGGATCAAATCTCAGAGGTTTGTGAGAGGAAGCAGGCAAGGCGTGTTGACTACTTAACGCCTGGAACACCATAAGCAGTAAATAAACTAAGGCTCTTAGTGGTGCAGTAAAATCAGCCACATCTCAACAAGGAAGGTTCCAAAGGTTAAACTGCACAGGGCTTCCCTGTGGCGAGGCACACGCGGAGTGCTTCATCGGTGAGGCAGCCCCCGCTCTGTCTGGTCCCGCTGGCGCCCCCAGAAGGTGGCCGCTCTGGCTTACGTGTCCACAGGGTCAGTGCCGGGTCCTGGCTGGGACGTCCAGACCAGTGGCAGCGATCTGCGTTAACACACACACCCTGTACGCAATGAGGACAAGACTGCAGCCTCTCCCTGGGCTTGACCAACTGAATTCTACCTGCATTTGCATTCTGGAGGGATGTGTGGTCATGAGGTTTTACTAGAGTTATAAAATTTCCCAGTGATAAAATAATAATAGAAATTGTGAAGGAGAAAAGAGACCATGGGGAAAAAATCTTCTGTCAAAACAAAATTAAAGGCAAACAACAGGCTGGAAATATTTTTACAGGAAACATAATAAAAGATGATGGAATCTTTAATATAGAAAACACATGCAACTTACTAAGTAAGACATTATGATGTCAATCGGTAAAAAGGAAACTAGACCATTAATTACCAAAAAGCAAAATGCAATTAGTAAAAGCATAGAGAAAAAGACTTCACCTCTTGGCTAACAGATACAAACATGAAAATGGCACATGGCCCAGGGCCAGGGGCAAGGAGGAAGAGACCCAGGGAACCTCTTCAAATTGTGGAAAACAATTTAGTCACACGTTGGAATCATTTAAACGATCATAATCTTTGACCGAGTAACTCCACACCTGGAAACAGATCCTAAGGAAATCATCAGAAACACAGACATTTTTAGCACCAAGATGTTCCCTGCAGCCTGATCTGTACTTCAGTTTACAAATTAAGAGAAACACGACACATCCAGTGGAATAAATATTTCTATCATTAAAAGTCATCTTATGAACCTCTGTGGTAAAACTGAAAACATTTTTACCATGATGTTAAGGGGGGAAAACCAGGACACAAATTTACTTGCAATGGTTAAAACTGGGTGAGAAACAGGTTTTTAAAAATGCCTACAGACAGACTGAAAGAACACATATCAAAATGTAACAGGTAGTGGGGCTTTGAGTAACAACTTTCTCTTTTCCAGGTTATCTTTAACAAACATATGTTACTGTTAGCATTTAAAAATACATTTAAAAAATAAAGATAAAGGCAAAGGACATGCCTACAGGTATTTCATATTCCTCTGTGATCAGACACAGGAGGAAGCAGCTCTAGAACCGAACACATATCTTGTGCTCAGACTGCCACAACCACTGGCCTCCAGGAAGGGAAGAAACCTTTGAAATAAAAACCTCCATGTTGACGCCTAAGGATAATCCAGATAACCACTCCTCCTGCAGCTGCCAGGAGCTGTTAACAGCCTCCCAGACACCAGGCGCTATTCTAGCAGCTGCATGAGACACATCCTGAAGTTAGTTCAACCTCGGGGTTCAGACGCGAGGACTCAGATGCTGAACTTGTTGCTAGAAGCGGGAAAATCCGAGAAAAGCGTGTTTGGAGGCCCTATTTCCTGTTCTTCCCCCTTCCGTGTCAGGACACCTAGGTCGGCCCCTCTCCTGAAAGGCTGCACAGAGGGACACAAGGATCCACCAGAATCTGCCTAACAGCTCCGAACAGATGGGCCAGCAGCCCAGGCGAGTCTCCTTTCTGCTATTACCGACAATGCTGCAAGGCGTACGGACCTCACGTCCGAAGCCTGTGCAGAAGCTGAGGCTTCTCGACGCAGAACCGCTGGGTCACATCACACAGTGGGCCCACCGTGTGACTCGGCACAAAGGCCATCCCCGTTTAGACCTCCACGGGGAGGACGCCGTAGTGGTCAGCCGGCCCCTCCCCGCTCCCGGCCAACACCGCCGCATGGGGCAGAGGCAGGGTCTGGGGGAGCTGACTCACGCCCGGCCTGCGGCCCCTCACCCGCAGTAGAAGACGGCCTTCTGCCAGGAACGCAGCCGGTCCGCCTTGGCCGCCACGGCGTTCGCAAACTCCATGAACTGGCAGCAGAAGGGCGCCTCGCACAGCAGCAGGACAGAAGCGTTCATGCTGGAGGGCCGGGGAGAGAAGGCTGACACCGGGCCAGGCTGGCGGGTCCTGGCGCCCGTGTCCCCGGGATGCCACCCCTCCCACTCCTGGCTGCTCACCCCACCAGGCTCCGAGACGAGCCAAAACAGGGCGGCTGGAGCAGGGCGCCCAGTGCAGAGCCATGGCTGGGGGCTGCTATGGCCCCCTCGGGGCTCCCACGGAGGAGCCCAGGGCCCAGTCGCAGTGACCAGACCCTGGGCCCTTCCAGCAGGCCAGGCCCTTCCATCCACCCCCAGCCTGGAGGGAAAGGGTCCCCATTTGTCCCAAGAACCCCCTGAGCCCCGGAGCAGGAACTGTTCTGCACAACTCACACCCCCTACAGGTGCCCGAGTCCCCGGCACACCACCAGCATCCGCCAACCCTCATGGACCAGTGCTCCCAGCTCAACCCCCGGGGGCTCCCCCCAGCCCTCCTGGGAGGTGAGGCTCTGCACACACCCCCAACCCCCCAGGCAGGACTGTCACATGCTTACTCACATCATCCACACGCCGGCCGCGATGTTCAGAGGGTGGATGGTGATGCAGTTGAAGAGGCCCGAGATCGCACAAGCTGTAGAGAGACACACGAGCGAGAGTCGGCCAGGGGAGATGGCTCGAGTCAGCGCAAGAAGCCCTTCTAACCCAGCCCCAGGTTCTCCTCACAGCGCCCAGACATCTCCCCTCAGACAGCTGACCCAAGCGAGGCCAGCACACGGCTCCACGGACCTGTGAGGACAGCCTCAGGCAGGTGAAGCAGCTTGCCCAGACCCCACAGCCAGAGTGCAGCTGGATCCCGGAACTGGCCTGCTTGAGGGCTCAGCAAGGGCTTACCGAGGGCATCCCACCCTCTCTCTGTTCCGGGCCTGGGGGAGCCTGCCTTCTGAGCCCCAGCTGTCCCGACACCCACCTGGCAAGGTGCACAGCATCAAAGAGAGACCATCTCTCAAGGGCTCGGGGCAGGACAGGAGGCACCACTCAGCGCAGGCCGCGAGGGAAGCCCTCTGGGTGTGGGTGCGGACAGGGCCGCCCCTCTTGGAACAGAAACTGGGGCCAGGTCAGCCTGGGTCACAATCCCCGCTCTGACCACAGCCCAGCCCAGTGACTCCGGGTGCAGTCTTTTCACCTTTCCAGGCCTGTTTTCTCTCCTGCAGCCCAGCCCGCCCACCCGGAAACACTCAGGGCCTGCGGCAGGGAGGGGACATCCTCTGCTACCCCGGAAAGTGGCTTCCCTGGGGCCCCAAACGTGGAGCCAGCTCACCCCTCCCAACGGCCTCCCATGGCAGGGTCTGTGCACTCGCCTCCCTCCATCCCCAGGGCCAGCCCGCTTCACCAAGAACTCCAGGAGCCTGCCAGGCTGGGCCAGGAAGCCAGTTGCTGGGCAGGAAGCTGCCCCCTCCAACAAGGCAGCAATGAGCAACCAGTTCATTAAATTTGCAGCAGCTCCCTCCGTACCTGATCCCTGAGAAGGCCTGGAACCCTCCTGATGTGTTCCCATGTAACCCTACACAGACAGCAAGCGATGGAAGACGAAACCTCGTGAAGTGAAGGGGACCGCCCTGTGCGCCGCCCCCGCCCCCCAAGGTCTCCTGCAGCGACAGACGCGCTCTGCCCTACTAAAGGTGGCACCTGTCCTGGATCGTCACTCATTCAGGCAGCGGGGCTCCCCAGGGCCACAGATATGAGTGCCCACGACATGACACTGCTTCTGCCCAACGGTCCGCTGTGCCTGGTCTCACCTGACAGAGGCCCATGCGTCCTGCCTTCCACCTCCACCCCTGTGTCTACCAAAAGCCAACCTTCCGGAAGGACCCAGTGTCAACCCAGCCAGGAGCCCTTTAACCATCAAGGGCTGGAAGATGTCCCCTCAGGGGCCTCCGATGCTCTTGCCAAGTGAGGGAGGTGTCCAGGGCCAGCCTGTCTCCTCCAAATGACAATCAAGACCCCGAGGAAACGCCTCTCCAAGGCCCCCGACCTGTGGAAGGTGGTGCTCCCGCACAGCGACCACACAGAAGCAGGAGCTGTCTGAACTCGAGTCTCATCTCTGAGACTCCTCTGTGCTTTGGAATCTACCCTGTGTTATATGCTGTTGGCGATCCACACGACAATCACATTCCCAAATCTGCAGGTGAAAGTGACATTTCAGGGTGAAGCCACAGGTCTCTCTTCATCTTCACGGGTCAGTACCCCAACACCGTGAACTCCTGGAGCGGCCCAGGTATCCTACTTCAAAAGCACAGAGCTGGATGGAATGCCAGGGTTAACAAGGGACTCAGCCTCATGGCTCAGCTGGTAAAGCGTCTGCCCGCCCGCGATACAGGAGACCCGGGCTCGACTCCTGGGTCGGAAAGATCCCCTGGAGAAGGAAATGGCAACCCACTCCAGTATTCTTGCCTGGAGAATCCCATGGACAGAGAAGCCTGGCAGGCTACAGTCCACAGTCCATAGGGTCGCAAGAGTCAGACAAGACTTAGTGACTAAACCACCACCACCAGCAGGGCTGAGGACCCCAAGACAGAGGGAAAAGGGTGAAGGCCCACAGGACACAGTCAGGCCCTCCCCTCCCCACCCCACGCCTCATCAGTGTCAGCCCCACAGCAGCCTCACTTTGATCTGCAAGGGAAACAGCTACCCAAACTCTGAAGGATCATACCTGAGACCTGACCAGTCTCTCCTGCAAAGTCAAAAGCATGCTTCCTCTGAATAGTAGTGACAGGGACTCAGAGGCCCTTTGGTGACTGGCGGAGGGCCTGTCCCACTCTGGCCCCTGGAGAGCGGCACGCTCCTAACCTGCACTGCTGGGCTTTCTTCGGGCCTCCACCCACCTGGGAGGGACCCTAAAGAGGGGCTCCTTCTGGCATATCTGATCAGGGTCTGCCTGGCCCTGGCCCTCTGTGCCAGGCACTCACTGTTCAAATCCTGAGAACGCCTGGACAAACAGACACTCCCTTTCTAACACCTCGGGCTGTGCCCGCCCCAGTCCAGTAATTCACAAGGTTGTGGGTAGCAGCACCACTCAACTAGACTGAGGCTTGCCTCAGAAGACCTGCCACGAGATCTTTCTCTCACTGAGTAGCAGGTCCGCCTTCCTATACCTGCTCTTTTGGGGGTGGCTGTGCTAAAAGAGCCTGGCTTCCCGGAAAACTTGAGGTTGGGGGTGTGTCCAGGACGAGCCTGTGTCCCGGGAACAGGAGGAGGGCGATGCTGAGGCGCTGCTGCGGCTGAGTTGACAGCCGGAGGCAGAGCTGACATCAGAGGAAGCGCACCGTCTCCAAGTGGACAGCGAGGACCCAGAGGAGGGGCCACCTCCCTTCCTCGGGGATCACCTGCTCCCTGACACCACCACCCGCCCCTCGGGAAACCTGGCCAGAACTGCACCCGCCCCACGTGTAAACAACCTTCGCCCAGAGAATAAGGCGACCGCCGTCCGCACGCGCAGCAGTCAGCAGGCGGGTCTGCCCTCCGGCCATGCGCGTCGGCGGCGGGGGGGGCGGCGGTGAGGCCACGTCGGGCCGGCAGCTCCCCGGGTGGGTCACGCTCCTCGCCCCGGAACGAGCCCGGAACCGGGGCGCCGGCCGGTAACCATGGCAACCACAGAAGCGCCCGCTTCCCGCGCGCCCCGCACGCCCCGCAGACTGCATCCCGAGCGGGTCCCTTCCCGAGGCCACGTCGGGCCGGCAGCTCCCCGGGCGGGTCACGCTCCTCGCCCCGGAACGAGCCCGGAACCGGGGCGCCGGCCGGTAACCATGGCAACCACAGAAGCGCCCGCTTCCCGCGCGCCCCGCACGCCCCGCAGACTGCATCCCGAGCGGGTCCCTTCCCGGTGGCACGCAGGGTGGGGGGCGCGGGGCCGAGCCGGGTACTCACAGACTGCCCCTAACACTCCCGACAGGCGACACAGCCAGCGGTACCACCACGTCATGCCCTCCTCCTGCGCGGGCTGCGCCGAGCTCGCGGGCGCCACCGCCGCTCCGCCCGCGCCGCTCATGGTGCCGCCGTCCGGCGCTGCCCGCCGCGCGCACAAAGGGCCGCGGAGCCAGCCGCGTCGTCCCGGCGCGCGGCCTTGTGGGAGAGGCGGCCGCTTATTAGCATAGGGGGCGGGGCTGGAGGGGCCGGGCGGAGGGAGGGCGCCCAGGAGGCCCGGACTTATTAGCGTAGGGGGCGTGGCCCTCCGGAACCTGGACGGAGAGCGCCCGGGGACTTCACGCTTATTAGCATAGAGGCGGGGCTTCGTGTTTATTAGCATCGGGGGCGTGGCCCGCTGAGACGTAAACAGAGAGCGCCCGGGGGCCTCGTGCTTATTAGCTAGGGGGCGGGGCCGCGGTGAGGTGCGCCCGAGAGGCCCGGGCTTATTAGCATAGAGGCGGGGCGTCGTGATCATTAGCATAGGGGCGTGGCCGCGGGTACCTGGACTGAGCGCGCCTGGCCCCCTCGCGCTTACTATCGCAGGGCTGGGCCCTGCCCCGCGGGACTCTCCGCGGTCAGCATCCAGACCCAGACTAGCAGGGGGGTGGGGCGTCGCAGGGAAGCGACAGGCGCGCGGGCATCAGGGCCTCGGGACTCCAGCCTCCCTCCCCCGGTAGACCGACGACCGCTAGCGGTGGCCGGGGGTTTCCTGGAATCTGGTGTGGACGTGGAGCCCGACCGCGGCCAGGGAATTCCCGTCGTGCGGTGGGCCGGGTTTTCAAACCGTGTTTGGGCAGGCTGGATAAAGAAAACGCCACTCAGACTGAACGCTCCGTTTATTTGTACCCGAGGGGCTGGGAGCCGGCTTTCAGGGAGGGTCCCGCCTCCCACCCTCTAGTGTTCTGCCTATTGGAGGAGGCACTCAGACACCAGAGTCAGCTCTCCAGGGCTGGACGGACACCTGCCAGATGTTCATCAATGTCAGGCGCCTTCCTTTCCCTACCGGGCCTGGGAGGAAGCGTTCCACTGTGTCCACTGGGCAACTTAGCGATGCACTTGGAGAGGAAGCTGAGGCAGGGGATCGGCCGGCTAAGGAGCTCTCGTGTGGAGGGTCCAGTACTGGCCCCGAAGGCTGGCCTGTGCTTCCAGGAAGCCCTGGCTAAACTCCATCTCTGCCTGGCTGCCCTCCGACTCCCAGTAGAGCGTCTGCTGCCCACGAAATGCCGTTGTCCTCAGGCTGTGGATGTCCCGGATCTGGGAGGAAAGGGGCAACCCAAAGGACCAGCCACAAGTAATAATTAGCATAAGCCCTTAATGTACAAAGTAGCATACACCCAGGTCACACAACAGCCCATCATGAAGATGCTGTTATTCTACCTGAGCAACTGAGGCTCAGAGAGGCGGTACTCCTCCCTCAAGGACACACAGCCAGAACGCCAGAGCTGGGGTCTGAGCCCAGATTTGTACAGAGGCCAGACAGCCTCCTGCAGGGAGCCGATACCTTACAGAGGCCAGTTCTCCCAGAACACACAAAAGTTCATCGAGGAAGGGCTTGGCCTACTCTTCTAGTAAAATTATCTGAGGGTCTAAAATTATGCTGCTTCAGTCCTGGGTGAACCGGCTGTCTACATCAGCCAGTTCCTGTATTTCTTTCTTGTAGGGAGCTCAAGAAACATTTGTTGGTGAATAAGTGGAAGAAACTTATCTCCCATTCATTCACTGATTTTGAGGATTTTGGTCTGAAGTAGACTCAGTGGGCCCAGCAACCCTCCAGTCCAGTCCCTGCCCCCTGTCCCCAGGGACGGCTGTCCAGAATGATAGCAGAAGTCAGCCCCTTCCTGTCCCCATCCCAGCAGCCTCACCAAGATGTAGCTTGCATCAGTTCCCTCGGCTCTGGTGCCCCTGTCCACGGTCAGGGCATGGATGGCAATCCGGGCCTGCGGGGCCACGTCGATGAAGATGCGACAGCCCCCCACGTTCCTCCCACCCGGACTCATCAATGGGCTCGAGATTTCACCCCGGGGTCCGAAGAGCTGCGTGTCACATCCTGCAGGGGAGAGCAGGTGGAAAAACTGGGTGTGGACCGTCTCACAAACAGAGGATGCCCCAGGAATGGCTGCTCTTGCCAGAGGCCAGGGAGGATCAGTGCAGCACCACACTCAGGATCAGGGCCCCCAGCAGAAGACCCCACTGAACCCCATCTCTACCACTTCCTGGCTGGGTGACCCTAATGAAGGCCTTAAATGCTCTGGGCTCCAGTTCCTTCTGTAAAGTGAAGAGGACACCAGCACACACTGGGCAGGGTAGACTTTAAGAGGACTCAGCGCAGTCACGTGCAAAAGGGCTTCACACTGAACCCGGCCCCGGGGCAGCCCTCCTAAGCCTCCCCCGAGGCAGGCGCCTGTGCACGGGGAGCCTGGGAAGTGAGGAGCGATGACCAGGCCAGCAGCCAGGGCCTGTGCTCCTTGCTGAGGGGCCAAGGAAGGAGTGGTCCAGGGTCCCACTTCCTACCTGAGGTCTAGGGAACCCAGAAGTGCCTGGAACCCTGGGGGAAGCAACCTTCCAGCAGCTTGGGCTGCAAGAAGAGGGCAAGACCCCCAAAGCAAGCCAGAGGGCTATCCATGGATGCACTGGGGCCCCAGGCTTGCAGGGCTCCCGGCCACTGTCCTGCACACGAGGTGTATGTGCACACACACACACCCCGCTCTGCGGAGGATGAGCCGAGAGGATAGTGCACTCAGTGGGGCTGGGCAAAGCAGCTTGAAGAAGGCCCTTAAAGGATCCTGAGGACCTGAGTGCCAGGCCAGGGTGTGGGGCCACGGTGGCCTGAGGGAGGGTGTGCGCCCGTGTGCCGTGGGGCCCAGAGAGGAAGGGAGGCCACACAGTTCAGGACCCCGTGCCGGCCACATGTGCAGGGAGCGGGTGTCGGGGGCCCGGAAGGCACTGCATTTCATTCGCAGTCAGCTCATTACTTTGCCGACAAAGGTCCGTCTGGTCAAAGCTACAGTTTTTCCAGTAGTCATGTATGGATGTGAGAGTTGGGCTATAAAGAAAGCCAAGCACCAAAGAACTGATGGTTTCAAACTGCGGTGTTGGAGAAGACTCTTTAGAGTCCCTTGGACTGCAAGGAGATCAAACCAGTCAAGTCTAAAGGAAATCAACCCTGAATATTCATTGGAAGGACTGATGCTGAAACTAAAGCTCCAATACTCTGGCCACCTGATGCAAAGAGCCGACTCAGTGGAAAAGACCCTGAGATGGGGAAAGATTCAGGGCAAGGGGAGAAGGGGACAACAGAGGATGAGATGGTTGGATGGCATCACAGACTCAATGGATATGAGTTTTGAGCAAACTCAAAAATAATGAAGGACAGGGAAGCCTGGCGTAGTGCAGTCCACAGGGTCGCAGAGTCGGACACAAATGAGAAATTGAACAACAACAGCTCAGTTCTCTGTCTGCCTGGACCACCAGCCCATAAGGACTGGCCCTGTTGGCAGGTTCTGGGCAGGTGGGGAGGCTCCGTCGCCTCGCCGTACCTCGGGGGAAGGCTCCCGGGGCAAGCTGGCTTGAATACCGCAGCAGCACTCCGCCTCCAACCTGCATGAGACGCTGCCTCACCAGCAGTGTATTGGCTTGGGAGCTGAAAGCCATGCCAGCCAGCTTCCCGCACAGCTTCCTCCACACGAGCCGGCCCCAAAGCAGCAGCATCTCCCCTGGGAGGGGGCAGTGTAGTGAGGACCCAGCACCCCCAGTCCAGTGGCAGCCCAGTGGCCGGGGGCAGACTCAGCTGAGCTCAAGTCCCGATGCTCCCGCTTACTGGCCATGCAACACTAAGGATCTCCATGTGTAACTCAATCTCTGCTAGCCTCAGTTTCCTCATCTGCGAAATGGGGACAACCACACCCCAGTCCTGAGTGGGCTAAAGTGATTAACACATGGGGAGGCACTTGGAGCATGCCCCCAGGCATGGGGCACCCTTGAGTTACCCTCACTGGCATCCCCAGACCCCAGCACTGGCAACAGCTGCTCCCGTGGCCCCAGACATACCAGCACTGCAGTTGAGAGAACCCTGCAAGACCCGTAGGGTCACCACTTCACCCAGGGGCCGGCCGATGGCCACCACACAGTCCGCCCGCACCATGCCTCGCATGTCGATGACTCCTGTTGGCTCAAGGTGCTGCCGGCCACAGACACCTGGCAAGGGAGCAGCAGGAGGGCAGGTGAGCAGGGCTTCCAGGCGGGGCGACCCGCAGGGCAGGGCCGCGGGAGGAGCTTGGGAGCTGGGGTGGCTCATGTCCTCCCAGGCCCCATTGGAAGGCTTCTCGGGTGAGAAGGGGGCTGCGTGGGTCACAGCCTCACCGCCCCAGGCACAGAGCCAGGCCTGATGCGCCAGTGGGTCACACGGGCAGGGCTTCTGACTCTTCTCAACCTTCGGGTCCCTCTCCCCGATGATAATAAAAGTGAGCTTGCGCTTTCCCAGTGAGGCAGAGGGCCCAGCCTCCCAACCCACCCCTCCAGCTCAGCCACGCTCGGCCCAGTGTCTGGAGTGCTGCAACCACTGGTCCACCCCACGCCGGGAGGTCCCCACGAGGAGCGCAGTCTGACTCTCCCTGATGAATATGCCTTTGCCCACCCCTCCTGCAGCCGCCCCACACAGAAAGAAGGAATGAACCTAACTGGTCTCCACTGGGCTTTCCTGGGGCCCAGGCAGGCGTCCTTGAGCTGGGGAGAGGAGGCGGGCATGGGGCTGGGGCCACTCCGGGGACGCAGCTGTGGCAGCTGTGGTCTGACCTGGAGTGGCTGCTTCCTCGTGGGGTGCCGGGCTGGCCGTCCCCTGCCCCGCGCAGGGTCCAGCCCAGCAGCCCCGCACGGTCAGCGGCTTGGGCAGCTGCTGGCAGAAGTCTGCAGGCACAGGCACCCGGGCCCGGGGTCCTAAGCAGGCGTCATGCCGACGCTGGATGCCCTCCCCACAGGAGACAGAGCACTGCCAGGGAAGAGGGACAGAGTGAGGCTGACCCTGCTGGGGCAAGACAAACACAGTGGTTGACCAGAGGCCAGGCGGGATCTGATAGAATCTCTGCCCAATGCAGGAGGCGAGCATATGCGCCCATTCTCCAGATGAGAAGACTGAGGCTCAGAGAGGTCACCCTGCCAGGGTCATAGAGGGAGGAGGAGCACAGCTTCAAACCCGGGTCTCTCGCTGTCGCCCCCCAGGCCTCGCTGCCCTCCAGGCCCCCTGAGTGGACACCGGTGGCTTCCTCCTTCTGCCCTCCGTCACTCAATGCAGCACAGTGTCCACCCTGCCATCCCACCCCGTGCCGCCCCTGGCGGCCGTGTGCTCTGCCTCTTCTCCCCTCCGCGCTGTGAACGAGCCCCTCCGGGGGGAGGGACCCGGCCCTGTCTACCTTTGTCTCTCCAGGGTCTTGCAAGGTGCTGGGTGCAGGATGGCAGCTGCTCACCTTCCAGAGTTATCAGTCCTTCATCTTCCGGCGTCTCCAGACCTCGGGACCTCTGAAGGCCTACCTGTCCCCTGACACCTCTAGGCCTTGCTGTGTCTTCCATCCCTGGGTGCCCTAACAGGCCTGTCTCTCCCCACTCCTTTCAGGGGATCACGACCCCCCCCCAGGTCCCCATGTGTGAGGACCCTCGGCCGACGCACTGGACGGCCAGCCCCAGCTGCAGCACTTACCTGCGTCCAGGCGCTGACGTGCCACCGGTAAGCACAGTCAGCGACGACGCAAGGGATGCTGGCCTGCGGCCGCACCAGACCTGCACAGGCCGCCCCGTCCACCTCCGTGTCCTTGCCACTCTCCAGCCGCACACAGGCCACCGAGCGTGTGGCCGTGCCAAGCCCACAGCTGGCTGAGCACGGGCCGAGGGACGTGACTTCCCACCTGCAGCAAGAGAAGACCCCAGAGAGAGGCTCGGCTCCCCCAGAGGTGGCACTGCCCAGGGGAGCTCCTCAGACGGCCAGCCAGGACCGGTTCCAGGGCCCCTGGGGGGGCCCAGCAGCGCAGCCCCTGGGCCCCCGCTGGCTGATCACGGGGCTGAGTGGCACGGGGGAGGCTCTGCAGGAAGGAGAGCTCTATTTCCTTAAGAAGGTCCCCCCTTCCATCCCCTTTGTCACAGAACACCCGTGGCACGAGCTGCTGGCTGGGTCAGGAACAGGGACGGGGCAGCGGTGCCCTGGGACGATGGACAGCTGATCTCCGTCCCCATCATTCAATCCAGCCAGTGGTGATTTATCATCTTTCACCAAATGATGGCGACTGGTACATTTCAGAGCCGGGGCTGAAGCCAGGCAGGCTGCACTGGGGCCTAGAGTCCTAATCACTAAACTAGGCTGCCCCAGCCCTGAGACCTGAGATGGCCCCTACCGATCGCGTGCCTTCTGCGGCCTTGGCACTGTTCTAGACGCCGAAATATGGCCAGGAACCAGACCCAGTCCTCCCCACCTGTCTCGGAGCAGGTCTCCACCTCGCGACGTTTGGGGCCAGTTGGGTCTTTGTCGTGGGGCCGTCGGTACAGTGGAGGGTGTGCTTAGGGGCACCGCCAGCCTCCACCCACTAGATGCCAGGAGCATTGCACCCCACACCCATCCCGCGCTGTGACAGTGTCCCTGGGAGGACCCCCTGCCTCCTTGTGATGGCACTTCGAGCAGAGCCTCAGAGTGGGATTTCTGAGAAGACATATACAAGAGCCACAGGAAGGCAGGTGCACAAGCATCGCCTGGAATGTTCCAGAACATCAAGGAGGCCAGGGTGGCCACAGGGACATTCCAGGGGTAAGCAGAGCTCCTGTGTGAACGAAATTCCCATTAAGAAAATCCCAGATCATCCGAAATACGATGCGCAAAAATAAATGGAGTGCACATTTTAGCATGAGCAAAAAAATCAAGAGACACAGGTATGGATAGCAGATGGATCATAAAGTTACAGTGATTTAAACTATTTGATTTCAGGGTGGCAGTAGGTGGGGGAGTAAATCAACAGAGCCTGGTAGGAAGCCCTCAACACAGATCCGACACACAGGAGAAGTCAGGATGCAATAGGGGGCACCTGGCAGGGTGAGGAGTGGAATGCAGCAAATGTTGCCGCTAGCTAGTGATTTGGAAAAATAGTTTGCTCTCCTACTTTGCATGCGTGCTAAGTTGTTTCAGTTGTGTCTGGCCCTTTGTGACCCTATAGACTGTCACCCTCCAAGTTCCTCTGTCCGTGGGATTCTCCAGGTAAGAATACTGAAATGGGTTGCCATGCCCTCCTCCAGGAGATCTTCCCAACCCGGGGATCGAACCTGAGTCTATTATGTCTTCTGTATTGGCAGGCAGGCTCTTTACCACTAGCACCACCTGGGAAGCCCCCTACTTTGCAAGAGACCCCAGATAAATCACAGATGATTTTAAAGCTCTAAGTGTAAGGGAGGTCTCTCTGTGGTGGCGTTACTTCTTTAAAACTAAGAAGACAGATGGCAGAAACACAGAGGGTAGCATCTATGAAATCTGGTGGTAGGATGTGGGTGACTTACATTCTTTTCTGGATGTTTCTGAGTGACACAGAGGAGCACTGCATTATTTAAAGTGCAAAATTACAAAGAGGAAGCCGCGGGCGCACTGGGAGGAAGGAGGTGAATGTCTGCGGTTCCCCATCGGGCTCCCACCCGTCTTTGGACCTCCCTGGTGGGACCTGCGCTGTCCCTGTGGCTTCAACGGTGCTGAGCCCCAGGTGGACCACCCTCAGGCTCTGCTCAGATGCTGCCTCTTCCAGCGGGAAGCCTCCAGCCCCACCCCATCAGGACCAACGCGACTGAGTTTGCTAGAATGACATCAGGTGCAGCCTCCCGGGAGGGGGTGGGGGTCCTATTTCTGTTGCCCCTGAAACACCCTGTAACCCCCACGGGCCCAGCCCCACGTTGGCACACACCAGGCGCTCAGGCTGCCTACTGCCCACGCTGGGGCTGCTGACCTGGGCGGGCAGGGCTCCGGGCTGCAGGCCTCCTGTGGCTCCGGGCGGGGCAGCCCCTGGCACTGGGTATCCGGCAGGGTCTCCTCGTCCGCGTCCTCCCCGTGGGCCCGGGCACAGTACAGGATCCTCTGCGCCACCCCTCCCCCACAGCTCAGGCTGCAGGCCGCCAGCTTGTACCGCCACCTGGGGCAAACGGGAGTCAGGGGGCGCCCGGGGGGAGCCCGGCTTCCCCTCACGTCCACCCCAGACCAGAAAGGGCCTGGAAAAGGTTCTCTCTCCGGGGAGTCACTTTTACATTTCCACCAAGAGGCTCAGCACAGTGGACAGAGAATACTCAGAAGACCCCATTTTACAGAAGGGGAAGTTGAGGGCAGATGTGTCCAGAAAAGCAATGGGGAAGGGGTGGGGCACCCAAGGGGCCCTGCAGAGACATCGGTCTCCAACAGGAATCCCAGCCCTACCATCACCCGGGCCCGCCCCCGCCAAGACTCCCAACCTTCTTTCACACTGTTTCCACGTCACACCAACACCGTCCCTCAGATTATGCATATATACCCATACATACATATATGTCCTCCTCAATCTTATTTGTCATCTGTCCCCCCGCCCCCAGCCCCCAGTATCTGCCCCGTGAGCCCAGGGCTGCCTGACTGTCTTGTCAGCGGCGGGGTCCGCCTGCGACAACGCAGCACCCGGGCATAGAAGCCCAGTAAAGAGCAAGTGATGAAAAACGAGCCACCAACCACAAGTGCCTACGGCGTTCCAAAACACCGTCCCTCAGATTATGCATATATACCCATACATACATATATGTCCTCCTCAATCTTATTTGTCATCTGTCCCCCCGCCCCCAGCCCCCAGCATCTGCCCCGTGAGCCCAGGGCTGCCTGACTGTCTTGTTAGCGGCGGGGTCCGCCTGCGACAACGCAGCACCCGGGCATAGAAGCCCAGTAAAGAGCAAGTGATGAAAAACGAGCCACCAACCACAAGTGCCTACGGCGTTCCAAACCCCCCGCCCCTGTCTTCTCTGCACCAGTATGACCCTCTCCTGCGGGTGAGGATGCAAGGCTTAGGACGTGATGACGCCACTCTGCAAGGACGCCGGCCGAGGACCACCGGCCTCCTGAGGGAGGCTGACCTGGCGGGACAGGGCTCCGGGCTGCAGGCCTCCAGGGGCCGAGGCGGGGGCACGGGCCAGCACTTGGAGTGGGGCAGGGAGACGAGGCGGCCCCGGTCCATCCTCACACAGCGAACAGCCAGTGGCACCTGCCCGCCTCCGCAGGTCACCGGGCACGGCGCCAAGGCCCGGGTCTCCCACCTGCAGGGGGGAAAAGCCAACGGTCCGCAGGGAGCCGCAGCCAGGGTGGAGCGCCTTCCCCCCAGGGGGGCCCAGACTGCTGCCCCTCTGCACGGCCTCCCTCCCTCGGACTCACCTGGCCGGGCACGGGGCAGCCTGGCAGGCCTCCCGCCGGCGCCCAGGCTTGCTGGCCAGGTCACACAGCTCTTCCCGGACGGGCGTCCTGAGGGCAGGGTCCATGCACACAAAACGCAGCTCCGCCAGGCCTGCAGGGAGGAAGGAGGAACCCCACGCCCCGAGAAGGGGGTCAGCAAGGACCACGGGCACCCCGTCCCTGGTCGGCTCTAGCAGATGAGGCCTCTGTGGATTTGAGTCCTAGCCGCCCTCATAGCTCAGGTGGTAAAGAATCCGCCTGCAATACAGGAGACCCCGTTTCGATTCCTGGGTCAGGCAGATCCCCTGGAGAAGGGAAAGGCTACCCACTCCAGTATTCTGGCCTGGAGAATTCCATGGACTCTGTAGTCCATGGGGTCACAAAGAGTCGGACACAACTGAGTGATTTTTTCACTTTCTGCCACCTACCAGCTGTGTGACCTTGGACAAGTGACTTAACTTCTCTGAGCCTCAGATTTTTTATCTAATGGTGCCTGACTTGGAGGGATATTTATCAAGATTTTTCCAGGAGACTAGAAAGTGTTTGATGGGCTTCCCAGGTAGCTCAGTGGTAAAGAATCTGCCTGCCAATTCAGGAGACACAAGAGACATGGGTTCGATCCCTGGGTCAAGAAGATCCCAGGGAGAAGGAAATGGCAACCCACTCCAGGATTCTTAACCTGGAAAATTGCATGGACAGAGGAGCCTGGTGGGCTACAGTCCATGGGGTCACAAAGCGTTGGACATGACGGAGCTACTGAGCATGCACGCACACACAGAAAGTGCTTGGCACATAGTAGCCACTCAAAAATGGTGGCTGATCTTTTTCTGTTGAGGGGCATTACACGAGTGGCTACATTAAAACCTCTCACTGTGTCTACCGCCAAGATATTATTACAGCCGTGTCCTTGAACCTCTCCTTTAGGAGTATCCACAGAAGAAATCTCTGGCCTTAGTTCTAAACATGCTGGCGTTTAGCTGACCAAGTGATTAGGGTTTTAGTTTAGTTAGTTATTTTCAACCTTGCCTCGCAGCTTGCAGGGTCTTAGTTCCCTGACCAGGGATTGAACTTGGGCCACAGCAGTGAGTCCTACCCACTGGCCCACCAGGGGATTCCCAGGGTTTTTACTTTAAAACACTCTGTATCTTAACATTAATTTTTGCTTCTCTGGATTGGCCGCCAGAAAGCTCAGAGCTAAGTTTGGGGCCCGCCTTAGACCTTAAGAATACTCTCTTGAGTCCCAGCATGGCTGGGTTTTATGATCACTTCCTACCTTCCAGCCAGTCAACGAGCACGGTCGCCTGGCCGCTGTACCCGGCTGGCCCCAGGCTCCTTGCTTATGACGTCACGTCCCTGGGTACGCCACCTCAAACACTTTTCTCGAGCTATCTGACCCTCAGGAGCACCAGGAACCTCACCTTGACCGCAGGAGGCCGAGCACGGCCCCGCCAGGGGCGTCCACACGTGTGCGGCAAGCGCCTCCAGCCTGGGGCTGCCCGATGGGGACGCAGCCTCCTGCCCCGGGGACCGGACATCCAGCTGCAGGGGGCAGGCACCGAGCTGGTAGGTCTGGGCCTCCCACCTCCAGACCTCGGGGACCTGGCCCTCCACTCCCACCCACCGCACTCCTTCAGGAGAGGACAGAAGTGGTCACCAGCTCCCAAAGGCCACCCGCCCCGCGGCTGCTCTCCCAGGAAGCTGGCTTCCTGGCCCCGGCGGTGCCTTCAGGCCCCACCCTGGCGTCTGCACCAGCGTGAGCAGTCACCGTGGGGAAGGCAGCGCTGGGCCTTGAAAGCCAGATCCGCAGACACGCCTGGCCCTGAAGTACCCCTGCCTGCCCCAGCCAGGGGGAGTGGGGGGCATTGGCCAGCATGCTTGTCTGAAAGCAACGCCTCCCAGCCTGAGCCCACAGATGCCGGCGGGAGCCTGGCAGCAAAGTGCCGCCGTCCTATCAGGCTCTGGATGCTTCAGGCCGCTCGCCAGTGGGGAGGGGGCGTCCCAGCACTCGGAGTTCTGTGTCGAAGCCTGCCCTCTGCCCAGGGGCCTCCCGAGGACAGCATAACCCTAACCCTGCATGAGTGTGGTCTTCCAGCTCTGGCTGGGAGGCCAGTGTAAGCAGAGCTCCCCCTTCTCCCGGGACGCTCACCTGGTCCCAGCCGGGAGGACATGCCACCTCGACACAGGGCTCCGGGGCAGGCGGGTTCTCATCTGCGGAGCAGGGCCCAGCAGTTGCCGGCAGCCCTGTGCCATCTGCCCCCAGCATACACGTCGTGTTCTGCACGGCCAGGTCTGCTCCACAGGCTGATGAGCACGCGTCTGCCTCCCTGAGGATGGGACATGACAGCCGTCAGGCCCTGCCTCTGCCTTCGGGCGGTCGGGGCAAGCCAGCTCCTGGCGCAGAGAGGCGGTGAACCTGCTCCCCAGTCTCCAAGAACCCAGAGAGGGACCCCCACAGAGGCAAGGCCAGGGGCTTTTCCCCAAAGCCTGGCTGAATGGCTGCGGGCCTCCGCTCCGCAAATAGGGCGCAGAGACCAGCCCTGACCCTCCCGCCTTCCAGAGGCAAAGATGGGTCCCCAACCAGAGAAAAGGGTGGCTCTGCGCGACCTAGACCCTGCAGTGCTGGGAGGCACGTGCCAAATGCAGCGGCTCGCCAGCTAACACGTCTCCTGCGCCAGCCCTGAGAGCTGGAGCCGGCCTGGAGCGCCGTGTGGAGGGGACCCTGGGGCAGGCTCAGCCCTCAGCAGGAGACAGCGGTGACCGCTGTGTCTGCCACAGTCACACGGCATGCGGGGGAGGGGGAGGGTGCCCAGAGCCACCTGCGGACCACCAGCGGCCTAGGCCACCCCCCTCCCCGCTACCCAGGTGACAAATCTGGGACCCAGAGAGGGAGGGGACTGGCTCGGGTCCCCCACATGGCTAGCAGCAAATCAGACTGATGGCCTCCATCAGCTGGAACGCTGCAGGGCGGCAATGACAAAGTGACGTCTGTGGCTGGACATCTGTGGCTTTGCTTGGCCCTCACAAGTTCAAAAAAAAGTTCAAAGAGAGGGGACTGGCCAGTCCAGGGCCTTCTGGGTGGGAGGGTGGTGGGGCCCGGCCAGAGGCCTCGGGAAGGGCTCAGCGCAGGGACGAGTCCCACCAGGGAGGTTCTGCCTGGATCTGGCCTTGGGGGGGCCCTCCTCACCCCGTGCTCACCTCTGGGGGCAGGGCTGGGAATTGCAGGTGTCCACGGCCGCCGGCTGCGGGGCCAGCGCTCTGCACCGGGAGCGGGGCACGGTCCTCAGCAGGCCGCCCCAGACCTCCACGCAGCGCACCTCCCGCTCCCGCAGGCCACCCCCACACGAGGCACTGCAGGGGCCGAAGTCTCCAGTCGCCCAGCTAAGGAGGGAACAGGCCATCGGGCAGATCCATCTGTGACCCGTCAGACCACTTCCCCGGCTGGGGTGGGGCCCAGGGTCCCTTCAGGGACCTAGACGCCATGCGGGGGGCTGCCGGCCCAGCTCCCCCACTCTCCAGGTGTCCCCGAGCCGCATCTGAGCCTGAGGACATCCGTTTGAAAGTGCCCGTGGCTGGCTGCCCCCACCCTGCACCCAACACAGATGGCCTTGTCCCTAGCGTCGTGCTCCCACCGGGGTGTGGTCCCTCCCAGAGCCAATGCCACAACCCTCCCAGGCAGCGGTCCTCTCTCCGTGCGGTGGGCGCCTGAGCTCAGCGAGGGAGCGAGCTGCCCATAGATGGGGGCAGCAGGTCCCACCAGGCTGACCAGCCACCCGGGTCTGCCAGAGTCTCACTGTCCTCACCTGCCACCTGGGGACACTGCCAGGGCTGATCAAGGACATGCCCAGGCCCTGCCAGCTGTGCCATGAGGGCCCCCGAGCCACCCCCACCCCCGGGGGGGCCGCGGCCAGCACTCACTGCGGGGGGCAGGGCTCGGGTGCGCAGGTCTCTGACCACGTCGCCGGGGGCCGGCTCCCCGCACAGCGGGCAGCCTCCACCCACTCGCTCCTGGCCTGGTCCCGACAGCTGTAGGTCACCTGGCGCAGCCCTGGAGGGGAACGGGGCGGGCTGGGACACCTCCACGGGGAGGCACGCCAGGCTTCCAGGCGAGCCCCGCCCTGGGCCCCACCTGCCCCGCAGCTCACGGAGCAGGGCCCCCGCACCGGGGCCCACGCCCAGGCCTGCCGCTGCTCTGGCTGGAAGTAGGTGAAGGTGATGTCCGGGCGGGCGGCGCTGCCGTACTCCTCGCCGTAGCGCCTGTAAACCTGCATGGAGAGCAGGGGCTGTCACGGCCACCTCCTTCAGGAAGCCTTCCACCCTGCCTTCCTCCCCCTTACGTTCTTTCACTCAGCCAGCCGCCACTGATGCTGAGTGCAGGCCACACGTCACAGCCAGGACACTGCCCCCGGCTCCGGGAGCTCATGGAGGCCGGGAAAGGGTGGGTTGCAGGCAGGTACAGAGACAGGGATGTGCCCAGGGGGCCAGGGAGTGCAGAGAAGGGCCCCGAGGAGGCTGAGCAGGGTGGACAGCTGGCAGGAGGCCGCGGAAAGGGCCTTCCAGGCCCAGCCTGGGGTGAGAAGCCCACAGCTCTGGCTTCTGCGGCACGAGTGCGGCCCCGGGGAGGGCAAGAACGGGCTGGATCTGGGGCTCTGGCGGGGTGGCGGGGAGCTGGCAGTCTGGGCTTGGCCCTGAGGACACAGGGGGTTAAGGAAGAGGGTCCAGCAGGGAGGCTGGGCTTGTCTGTACTGCAGGAAGGTCCCTGGGTCCTGGGAGGGGCCAGCCTGGCAGGCGGAGGCCAGGAGGAGGCCCCTGGGTCCCAGCACCTGCCCCCACCCACCACAGCCCTCTGCTAACGTGCATGTTCTCAGCACACACACCACCCCCGCCATCCATCAACAACAGGTCCTGGGTCAGAGGCCCCGAACAGGGCCTGCGAACCTGTGTTTCTATCCGCACCACAAAGGATGCCAACAGAACTGCTCAACAGCCAGCATTTGGAAGTAGGCTCCTGGGGGCGGGGAGGGGGTGAACTAGACAGGACTCATGGGGAGGCAGGGAAGGGGTTAGCTGCTCCCAGGGGCTCGCTCTGGCCTGGCCTTCTTGGGGGAGCCCCAGCTGTCTCCCCAGCTGTGGGAGCAGGGGGTGGGCTGCTAGACCCAGTCAGGGGCCGTCAAGATGCGGACCATCCCCAGAGGTTCTCTGGGGCTATTTCAGCCTCCACTGCTTTCTGTCCAGCCCTCTGAGCACCCTCCTCAGCAAAGCTCACAGGGGGCCGCCCGCAGGCTGGGTCCCAGCGGGAAGGACCCATGCAGACACAGCCTGGGCTCCGCCTGCCCCAGACAGACAGCAAGACCCACATCCACGCTGAGCTGCCGCGGGCGGGGCCTGCGGCCAGCACTGCCTGGCGCACGCACGCGTCCACCCCCCCACCCCGGCCGCCCATGACCCTAGGAGGCAGGATTGCCAGCCGTGTGCACATGGGGGGCGCGAACGCTCTGCCAAGCACTTACTGTGCAGTATTTTGGGAAAAAAAAGATGAATCTTCACAATTACTTTATTTAGGGGTGATCAATTTCGGTTTGCAGATGGGGGAACCTGAGGCTCGGAAAAGTTAAGTATTTGCCCCAAGTTTCTGCGGAGCCAGAGCTGAGCTCCGGGCTGAGCCCCCAGCCGGGCTCTTGACCCCGGGTCACCCTGCTCCCTGTTCTTGGGCTGCCTCTGCTCGTCCTGTAGGGACGACAGACCCCATAGGCATCGGCCCGGCCTCTCCGGCTGTCTGGAGACCCACGCCCTCCGTCGGCAGGTCCGACATGGCCCAGTCCCCACTGCACCTGCCCAGGCCCCTCACCCGGCAGCTCCCCAGGCCCCCAGGAGGAAGCCTGGGCCCCTCACATGGCCAGCACGGCCCCTCGAGGTCTGCCCAGCCCTCCAGCAGCCTCCTCACTGGAGGGCCCCCTTCCTCCCGCCCCTGAGCGCCCCTCCACTGCAGGCCCGGGTCCCTCTCCCCGCCTGCTCGCCCGCAGCCTCAGCTCGCCCTCCCGGACCTCAGCTGCACGGCCCCCTCCCGGGAAGCCCCCGGCCCCTCTGCAGGGCTCTCCCCCGAGCCACTCTCAGGACTCCAGGGGCCCCGATGGGCTCTGAGCCCCGGGACGCCAGCCCCCCAGCGGCTGCTGAAGGAGCGGGTGAGGGTCTGAGCCGGTGGGCAGGCCGACAGCCGGGGAGGCCCTGCGGTCACCTGGATCTCCACGTCGCCGCGGGTGGGGCCCGGGATGCGGATCTCCTCCCGGCGGGGCAGCCGGTCCTCACTCAGGCTCAGCCTGTACTCCACGCGGCTGTCCTCCAGGGCGGAGGGGTAGCTGGTGCTGGCGGAGATGCTGCCGTTTCCGGCCACGGCGTAGCGCCCACGCACCCTCACTGCTGTGGGGGCAGGGCCCGCAACAACAAAAGGCCCCCCCGAGCCAGAACCGCCCCCCCCACAGATGGCCCTGTTCAGGGAGAGAGGACAGCTGGGCCGACAGGATGCAACCTCCAGGGCTCCACCTGCCACGCCCACCCCAGGGCCCCGCGCCCTCCCGGGGAGCAGACCTTCCTGGTACCCCACGCTCCGCTCCGAGACGCACAGGGGTCTGACCGAGGGAGGCTTCCCCACATCTTCCCGGAACCCGGGGAGCGCTGTAGACCTGCTCCCTCACCGAGTGCAGGCACAAGGACCTCAGGGTGAGCACCCCAACCCAGATTCAAAGGGCACCCTCTGGGCATAAAAACCCACGGTGTAAAGAGGCCGGCCTCACACAGAGATCCATCTGTGTTTAGGGTGAAAGCTCAGATACGTGATTTACGGTGGGGGCTGTGAGTGAGCAAGCCTGAGCCAAATGGGAGACTGAGACCATGATCAGTCAGTCCCCGCACCTCGTCGACATAGACACCCGGGCAGTGAGCTCCCCAGAGCGCCCAGGGAGGCAGGGCACTGCGGTGTGGCTGCTCTCGAGGCTGGACACAGGCGCTCCCCGCCGCCACCCTAGGCACCTCTCCCTTCAGCTGTCCCTTGGAGTAAGCCGTAACCGTGAGGGCAACAGCGCTCAGAGTTCTCGGGGTCCACCCGGTGAGACCCCAACAGAGGGCACTGGCGGGACCCTCAGACTTGCAGGTGGCGTCGGAAGTGAGGACGCCTTGGGCGGTGCCCGCACACTTCACGGTGTGGCCAGCTCACCCAGGTGTGTGAAGAGGGGCCTGCGGTTGACGACGTAGATGCTAGTCAGGTTGGGGGCGACGGTCAGGAACGTGACGTACTCTAGGAGGAAGCAGAGGTGGGGGTGGTCTCAGGCCGCTGAGGTCACAGTCAGAGGGAGGAAACGGTAGCGCCCGAGGGAGCTGGGACTCAGCTCCTCGACTGACTTTGCACGAGACCTGACTTCTTGCAGAAATAGATCAAAGTCAAGGATTGTCCCAAGCATAGCATCCCCATGCTCAGATGCCTCCGGCGGGAGAGGAGAGAACAGCCCACCGCAGGCTTCCCATGTCTGTGCTCTTCCTGCGTCACAGGTGCTAAGAGCAACGGTGAGTGATGGGGCACCTCATCACCGGCCTGAGCCTCCTGGGAAGGCTGAGACCCGCTGAGAGGGCCCAGGACCGAGCCAGCACGCGGCCCCACCATCCAGGCAGCCGGCACCCGAGCTCTGGGCTGGCGCGTCTTCTTGGAGGCTGGGGGGAGCCGGCCCTTCGCCCCTGGGGAGGCCCTACCTCTGGCCCTGCCGGCCGTGAAGGAGCCGTTCTGCGGCCGGCACGTGCTATTGTCCCCGCCGCACACCTGGCACCTGTCCCGCACCTGCCCGGAGTCCATCCTGCCGTCACAGCCGAACGTCTGTGCAGAGGAGAGTGGCAGGTGAGGCCGGCGGTGTCGTCGGACAGGGCTGGGCTTTGAGGTCCATACAACCAAACCGGCTGTTTTGCCATTTCTGGTGTGGGAGGTGAGCTTAGATGACTTGCCCCAGGTCACGGCAAGGCTCTTGACTCCAGGCTCGGCCTGTTCCCCAGAGCCACCCAGCACAGACGCTGCTGCGGCTCCGTGGGGGCCGCACGCCCAGACCTGACCCCCTCGAAGGCCCCTTCGTGCCCTGGCTTCTCCGGGGAGAGCCCTCGGGGCCACAGAGGGTAGGAGGGCACCTCCGCCGCGCGCACGCCTACCCTGCAGCTGCCCGACACGCACAGGCTCAGGGCCCCGTCCTCCTGAGGGTCGCCCGGCACACAGCGCGTGCCGTCCAGAAAACGGTCCCCACGCCGCACCATGAAGCTCTCGCCGACGGCCCGGCACACGTGCCTGCACAAGGCGTTCCCTGGGGAGAAGCAGAAGAACCAGAAGCCCGGTGGGCGGGTGCGGGGAGCCGGGGACAGAGACTCTGCCAAGCCGGATCCGAGTGGGCTCTCGCTGCCCCCCAAGCACCATCTCACTGTGCTTTTTGCATTTGGGGTTGGGGTGGGCTTTATTTCCCACCCGCCCCGCCTCCCAAGGCAGTAATTGCATCACCATGTGATGAGTGTGCCGACTTATGAGGCAGGTGTTTCTCTGGCATCACGCTATGCCTCTTTTCTCCGTTTTACAGACAGAGACTCAGGGAGGAGAGGTCAGGGCTGACCGGCCGGCCAGGGGCCGAGCCAGGGCGGGTGGGATGCTCAGTGGGATGCAGAGCCCGGGCCCGCTCCCAACGGCATCAGAGTGACGCTGGGCCTCCCCCAGGGACTCCCCCACCCGGGGTCTCGGGCCTGGCCCCCACCCAGGCCCACCTTCGCTGTACTGCTCCGCGGCCCCCCAGCGGTAGAAGGCGGCGCTGCCCCCCGGGGAGAGGCGCAGAGGCTCGCCGTCAGTCTGCGCGCACTGCTCGGACATGAACTCCAGCTGGGTCTTCTCACAGGCCTGCATGGAGGAGGCGGAGGACGGGCACACAAGGGGCCGGGGCCAGGGGCTCCGGGAGGGAACCCTCGCCCCCGAGACAGCAACAGCCCCTGCAGCGCGAGGATGAAGACGCGGGCTTGAGCCTGGCTCCTGGCTGCACCTCGGTTCCCTGCCCTGGACACCGGGAGTGTCGAGAGCCTCCCTCTGCTGCAGGAGGATTCTCCAAGAATCTGGGAAGGCACGGGGCAGAGCCTGCCCCTGGCAATGAAGAGGAGAGAAAGTAGGCAGAGAGATCCGCAGAAAGGAGGCCCCGTTTGTGTGCATCTACCATGTCTGCGCAACGTCTAGTCAGAGCTGCGGTTTCTCCAGTGGTCATGTGAGGATGTGAGGGTTGGACTATAAAGAAAGCTGAGTACCAAAGAATTGATGCTTTTGAACTGTGGTGCTGGAGAAGACTCTTGAGAGTCCCTTAGACTGCAAGGAGATCATCGCGCCTGCACTTTCAGTGTTACTATCACTCCTTTTTAATCAATGACATGGTTTGTTTATTTGGCTGTCATGGGTCTGGTGAAGCAAGGAGATCCAACCCGTCCATCCCAGATGCGAAGAACTGACTCATTGGAAAAGACCCTGATGCTGGGAAAGATTGAGGGCAGGAGGAGAAGGGGACGACAGAGGATGAGATGGTTAGATGGCATCACTGACTCAATGGACATGAGTCTGGGTAAACTCCGGGAGTTGGTGATGGACAGGGAGGCCTGGTGTGCTGCAGTCCATGGGGTCGCAAAGAGTCAGACACGACTGAGCAACTGAGCTGAACTGAACTGAACTATGTCTGTGCAGGTATCAGTATTGGAAAAGTCACAGGAGTCGAGAGCAAAGGGCCTCTGTACAAGAAGCTGGACGCCGAGGTGGGCTGGTGTCCTGACCTGCTCTGCACTGGAGTCTGAGGAAAAGAATCAGAGTGGGCCTGCTGAGTCCGCCTGGGGACTCCGGGCAGGGAAGTTCTCACCACGTACAGATCTTAGGTCAAGGCCGGAGGAGGCTCCCTAGCCCTCCACACCCTCTATGACGGCCACGTGGGAAACACAGGTAAGTGCTGGAGGGGATGTGGAGTTAGCGGAACCCTCGCACATTCCTGGTGGGAAGGCCAAACGGCTCAGCTGCCACAGGAAATGGCTTGGAGGTTCTCAAGGAGCTAAATGTAGAATTATCACGTGATCCAGCAATTCCGCTTTTAGGTATACACCCCAAAGAGTGAAAAGCTGGTACTCAAAAAAGTCCACGTACACACATATTCATAGCAGCACTATTCAACAAAAGATGGAAACAGTCCAAGTGGAAACAACCAAAGATGGAAACAGTACAAATGCCTCGACAAATGGACAGCGGATGAACAGGTGAGCAAAATGCGGTCCATCCATCCAATGGAAGGTTATTCAGACACGAGGAGTGGAGTTCAAATACTTGCTACACGTGAAAATGCCACGCACCGAGTGGAAGATGCCAGATGCAGAGAGCCACACGTTGTATGATTCCCCTTATATGAGATGTCCAGCACAGGTAAACCCCCAGAGATAGAAAGTGGACTGGTGACTGGCAGGGGCCGGGGGGCGGCAGCATCGGAGGGACTGCTTAATGGGCTGGGGTTTTGCTCTGGGGTGACGGGAACTGTTTGGAACTAGAAAAAGGTGGTGGTCGCATGGTGTTGTGAAGATAACACCGAACCGCAAGATTTCACATGGCTGACTTTATGGGTGTGCAAGTCACCTGAACTCATAACTAAATGAATCACCCATGCTCTCCCAGTATCCGGCTCGGCTGCAGGAAGGAGGGGTGTTCTCAGTCCAGGGCAGTGGAATCCGGGTAAGCAGGGGGACACTTCGGGGGGGGTGCTGCTTTCAGTGGTCAGACAGGCCTGGGTTGTGCGCTGTGGTCCAGAAAGTGAAAGTCGCTCAGTTGTTTCTGACTTTGCGACCCCTGGACTATACAGTCCATGAAATTCTCCAGGCCAGAATACTGGAGTGGGTAGCCTTTCCCTTCTCCAGGGGATCTTCCCAACCCAGGGAACGAACTGTGAACTCCTGCATTGCACGCGGATTCTTTACCAGCTGAGCCACAAGGAAAGCCCAGGAATACTGGAGTGGGTAGCCTATCCCTTCTCCAGCAGATCTTCTCAACCCAGGAATCAAACCGGGATCTCCTGCATTGCAGGCAGATTATTTACCAACTGAACTATCAGGGGCAGGTATTAATAAAACCACTTTTGCTCTCGAAAGCGCCCTGGCCCAAATCACAGCCATCCTGACCCTTGGGCTCTTCCAGGCCAGTGCCGCCTCCGACCGCAGCCCCTCCCCTGCCCAGGGAAGCAGGCCTACCTGAGTGTTGCACATCTCAGCCTGGAGGTCAGCACCTACGCACGCGCGCCCCCCAAAGGCAGGCCTGAAAATGCCCACAAGACAACGGGGTGAGACGTGACCCAGGGCCCCGAGCCTGGGCGCACGGAGCAGCCACCTCCACGCAGTACCTGGGGTTGTTGCACCGCCGCCTCCTGGTGACCACGCCACCTCCGCAGGAGCGGGAGCAAGGACTGGCGGGCCCCCAGCCTGACCAGTGCCCGTGCACCACCCCCACGGGGGCCAGCTCCGCCAGCGAGCGGCAGTGACCCTTGGAGCACCACTGCAAGAGAAGGATGGGACCGCGTTTTGCACCCAGGGCATCCCACACCCACAGGCACCCACACTCACACGTACCGCACACTCAGAGCATCCTATGCCCACAGGTACCCTACACCCAGGACCCCCCACACCCATAGGCACTCCACACCCAGGGCATGCCTGCACCCACAGGATACCCCCTCATACACACACACACACACACACACACACACACATGCTTGCAACCTCCATACTGCTCAGGAGCCAATGCTAAACAGAGGACAGCCTACAGCAGCCCGCAGTGCGGGGACTGCAGGGAAGTTCTGACCGACAAGGCAGAGGGCATGCGCCGGGAGCTGGAGGACAGGTGACCACGGCAGGGCACATGGAGGCGCGTGCCCACTGTGAGGCTGGTGACAACACATCCCTGTCCGCAGGCCACCACAGTGGGCCCAGGAGCAGCCATCCCAAGTACACTGAGCTCCCTGGGGGCAGTGAGGAGGTCAAGAGGTGGGCCCTGGACCCCCGCCTGCTCCAGCAGAGTCGCGAGGGTCCCGTAAACCTGGAATAAAGCCACCAGCAGCGGGGGTGGGGTGAGCATTGGGCTCCCCACCTCTCCTGGCCAGGGCACCCAGGACAGCACCAGGGCCCTCTGCCCCCATTTACTGAGGTCCTGCTGTCTCCACCCCCAGAGGAGGGCTGCAGGGTGCAGGTCTGGGTGAGCACGTGTGAGCGCGCACACACACACACACACACACACACACACACACACTTGCACATGCTCCTCCACTCCCCGCTGACCTTCCCCACGCCACACTCTGTCCCGTCCAGGAGAGGAATAAGTAGGCGGCTACAGCTGCTTGGGTCCAGGGGGTCTGTGTGGCAGGAGAGAGCCTGGCACATGTCCTAAGAGGGGGGACACACGGGCAGTTGAGGGGCCCCCAGGGCCTGTGGGGTCCGTGTCCAGCCGCACCGGTCCCTCCCAGACCACAGGACAGTGACACAGCCAGCACCCCGGGCAGTGGAGGGGGCCCTGGCTGACCCCTTTATCGGGAACAGGAACACTGGCCGGGGCCCACAAAAGTGTCTTCATTTCTTTTAAAATCGGAAGGAAAAAAGATGGTCTTTTAGACCAAATAGAATGTCCTAATATATAGCATGAATATATTTGTGTTTATAACAACACCTGTAATATCACATATTTTACAAAAACACTAAGCTGTAATTCCAAGTAGTTTGTAAGCAGGAAGGGACTCACAGAAGCAAAAGTGCCTGCAAGTCCTGTGCAGCCCTGAGAGGAAATCTGTCTTTAGGGTAGCTCCCCCGCCCCGGACTCCTGCTTGTGAGGGTCAGCTTGGAGGTCACTTCCTCCAGGAAGCCCTCCACCTCCCACTGGTAACCACCTGCACAGGATCAAGGTCCATAGGCGCAGGGGCTCTATCAGAGCCAGCTCTACATAATTTGTGGGGCTTCCTCAGAAGGAAAAGGTGAGGGCCCTTGTTCAGAAATTGAGAACTTCTAGGGGCACCTGAGGGTCTGGGCCAGTGGGCAGAAGGGCGGAGAAGGGCGGTGGGGGCATGAGCGGGCAGGGGGAGGCCCTGGTGCGGAGGGGCGGGTGGTGGGCCGCGACCCCCACGGCCAGACTCACCAGGTGCTCCCCGCGGAAGGTGCAAGCGACTGCCGTAGGGCCGAAGGCGATCCGACACTGCTCGTCCGCGCCGTAGTAGAGGCCGGGCTGCGCCTCCAGAGGCCGCCCCGCGGGCCCGGACCGCGGCCCCGGAGGGTCCCACACGCAGCGCGCCCGGCCTGCGCTGCGACAAGGCCGCGGTTCAGGCCGGGGGTGGGCCCCGGGAGGGGGCGGGATGGAGGAGTGGGCACCGGAGGTGAGGGCGAGGGAAGCCGAGACGGAGGGGTACCCCCCCCCCGCAGACGGGCTGCGAGCCCAAGGAGAGGTGGACAGGGGTGAGGGGGTGGGGGTGGCGACGGGAGCGGACACCGGGCGGAGGGCCGCGGGAGGGCTGGGGCCGGGGCGGAGGATGAATTCCTTTGAGTAACTCAACAGAAATAAGAATAACCAAATTAGGGAACTTCCTTGGTGGTTCAGTGGCCAACACTCCATGCTCTAGATGCATGGGAGGTTCAGTTCCTGGTCAGGGAACTATATATATCCCACATGCCACTACTAAAGATTCCGTATGTCACAACTAAGACCCCATGCAACCAAATAAATGAATAAATATTTTTTACAAAAAAGATAGATGGAGGAATTGTAATGGCTGGGTGGGGGAAGAAGTCAGACAGAGACAGAGAGCTAGGGTAAAAGTGGCAGCTGTGGGTAGGAGCCCAGCCTTGTCCTGGAGGTAGGGGTGGGAACTCTCTGCGCTCGCAGGGGGCTAACAGGCAGAGTGTGGGCGTGGGGGCCAGCGGGCGAGGAAGTTAGACACTCACTTTTCACTTTAGGAGTCTCCGGTACTATTTGAATTTTCACAGAAAGCAGATATTTGCTTTCGTAATGAAAAGACTAGAAGTCAAAAGAGCAAGATGCCCTCCACGCTTGGTAAACAGCACAGAGGAGCAGAGTCACCCAAAGAACGTGTAACAGTCACACGAGGAAAAGTCTGAAAGTAATCTAAGTATATAACACTAGGGAATGGATTAGGTAAAATACGTGCATACCAAAAAAGTCAACACACATTGTAAAAAGACTTTTGAGAGAAATCTTTGGGATGTATTCTTACATAAAAAGGCAGTTAACTTGGCTTCCCTGGTGGTCCAGTGACTAGGAATCCACCTGCCGATTCAGGGGACATAGGTTCAATCCCTGGTCCAGGAAGATCCCACACGCCTCAGAGCAACTAAGCGTGTACACCACAACTACTGAAGCCCACGACCCCCAGAGCCTGCGCGCCGCTGCAAGAAGCTGCTGCAGCGAGAAGCCGCCGCAGCGAGGAGCCCGCGCGCCCCGGCTGGAGGGGAGCCCCCACTCGTAGAAAGGAGAGCACGCCCGAGAGGAGCAATGAAGACCCAGCGCAGCCAGAGATAATTAATAAAAAAATGGTTACGTGGAAAAAATTTTTTAAAAGGCAGTTAACCAACGTACAGCATAATTCCAATTTTGTGGATAAAAATGATGTATGTGTGTGTGTAAAGAAAAGATGGATGTTTTCTCTAAGTGGTGGGATTTGGGATGATTTTTACAGCCTTGTTTTCCTTTACATGAGTTTCCTACAATAATCACTTTTTAACTCCTAAGTTTGTTTTGCTTATATTTTTTGGGGGGAAAATGTTTTGTTTTAATTATTCGGTAATGAAGAAATATCAGGTTTCCCAGCCCTTGCCCCTCACCCTCCTGAGTCCAGTGGGGTCAAGAGTAGCGGCTCCTCCCACCTAGCTCTTCCTGGGACCACCGCCAGTCATGACCTCCCCTCCTGGGGGCCCCAGGTCACATCCTTGCCTGGAGCTTGGGGCCAGGGCATGGGGCCCCTTACCTGTGCCCAATCTCATGGGCGATGGTGAGCCCCAGGTCGAAGCCGGTATCCTCAGTGATAAGGCAGCTCCAGGAGGAGGAGCAGGCGCCCCCCAGCTGGGTGACCCCCCGAACCTGCCGGTTACCATCGGGCAATTCCAGGTCAAACCTCAGGAGGAGAGAACAGACACCCGGGGGCACTGAGGTGCCTGCCCGCCAGCAGGCCACCTTGGCAGGGAACAGGAGTGACTCCTGGGCAGGCTGGCAGGCCACGGGGGTCTCGGCTACCTGGTGATGTACAGGACCAGGTCAGCATGCGCAGGGTCTGTGTCGTCCTCGGGGTTGACCGTCCTGCTCCACTCACAGACGCTCAGCAGTGACGCGGTGATGTTGGCTGTGATCTTCGGAGCATCCTGAGAGGCCGGTAACAGAGCACATATTTAGGGGCTCCACCCCAAGCAGGGTGCTGACTGCCGCTGCAGCCTCCATCCTCATGACGATGATACCACCATCCCAGGGCACAGAGGAGGGGCCCGAGGCCCAGCAGGGCAGAGCTGGAGCTCGGGGCCAGGGCCAGCGGACAGGAGAACATCCCCCCTGCTGTGCATCCACTGGCGAAGTGAAGTGCACGTCACTCACTCGTGTCTGCGACCCCGTGGACTATACAGTCCATGGAACTCTCCAGACCAGAATACTGGAGTGGGTGGCCTTTCCCTTCTCCAGGGGATCTTCCCAACCCAGGGATCGAACCCAGGTCTCCCGCATTGCAGGTGGATTCTTTACCGGCTGAGTTACCAGGGAAGCCCAAGAATCCTGGAGTGGGTAGCCTATCCCTTCTCCAGCAGATCTTATGGACGGAGGTTAAAGACTGCAGAAACAGGTTTCCCAGGGACAGGGCTCCCGGCTCAGCACCTACCTCAAGCTGGGTGAGGATGACCATCTTCACCAGGTGAACTCGGAACTGAGCCCCCAGGGATGGATCCCTCAGCAGCTCTGACCCCTGCGGAAGGGCGGGCAGGAGAGGTGACACGTGAGGGCAGGCGTGGCCAACTTCAGGGATCCAGGGGCGGGGGTGGGCTGCCTGGAGAGGGTGCTCCATCAGCGTGGCGGGAACCGGAGGTGCTAGCCCTCCAGCTGGGAGCCAGCCAGAGGGACAGTCAGTCCTCTGGCCCTCCCTCTGCTCACGGCTTAGGAAGGCCAGCCAACATAGAGACCCCCGGAACCACAGGATGTGAATAACTGCCATCCATCTAGAATGTTCCTTCAAACACAGGATTTCCTGGTGGTTCAGACAGTAGAGAGTCTGCCTGCGATGCCAGAGACCTGGGTTCAATCCTAGGGTCAGGAAGATCCGCTAGAGAAAGAGATGGCAACCCACTCCAGTATTCTTGCCTGGAGAACCGGAGGTGCTAGTCCTCCAGCTGGGAGCCAGCCAGAGGGACAGTCAGTCCTCTGGCCCTCCCTCTGCTCACGGCTTAGGAAGGCCAGCCAACATAGAGACCCCCGGAACCACAGGATGTGAATAACTGCCATCCATCTAGAATGTTCCTTCAAACACAGGATTTCCTGGTGGTTCAGACAGTAGAGAGTCTGCCTGCGATGCCAGAGACCTGGGTTCAATCCTAGGGTCAGGAAGATCCGCTAGAGAAAGAGATGGCAACCCACTCCAGTATTCTTGCCTGGGAAATTCCATGGGCAGAGGAGCCTAGTGGGCTACAGTCCAGGGGGTCGCAAAGAGTTGGACACGACTGAGCGACTGAGCCCTACTAAACCCGGTTCCCAGCTCTCCCGGTGCATCTGCCGAGATGCCGACTGTCAACTCGCACGGCGGCTATTCACACGAGCTCGTCCTCTAGAGACGTGGCGTCCGGCAGAGAGGATGTGGCCGCCACTGGCCTCGGCTGACCTGAGTCTGAGCCAGGCTCTCCCCCTACCTACCTGTGTCCTCAGGATCCTGTTAACTAACCTCAGGGCCCCGATTCCCTCCTCTGTAAGAGGCAGAGAAACACTTTCATAGCTGTTGGCAGACTTAGTAACTATGCAGTCGGCACAGGTGGGTGCCCGGCATGACGCTGACTGCTACCACGACCAGCACCATCTGGGAAGGAGCCAGTCTGCAGTCTACCACCTGACCATCACTGGGCCTCATAAAACACGTTGAATGGCCAGAGGGAGTATGGTTTGATTATCATATTTCAGTATATTCAAGGTGGAGGGCCCCCCACCCCGCCCCGCCCAAAGCTTGAAAACAGAGCTTTCAAGTGACTTAGAGGGAATACGTTTCAGCTCTGGGGCTGGCAGGTGGAAACCCGAGCTGGCTTGTCCTGGACTTGAGCCAGCTTCTCCGGGGGTCGGGACCCCAGGGGTATGACCCCTGGGACCCAGCCTCCATGCAGGGTGGGAACCCCAGAGAACATCTGAGAGAAGAGAGGGCTCGGAGGGCCTGGGGCTCTGAGAGTGGGAGAATCCTTTCCTTTGGTCCAAGACAGCCGGGCACACCTGAGGCTGGGAACACGGTGGTGCCAAGGACCCCACCTTCTGAGGCCGCCCGCCCTCCAGGGCCCACTCAGCAGGGGAGCAGCTCGGGCCCTGGTGCTGCCGCCAGGGGTACTGGTCTCCTGAGGTTTGTGGGAACGTACCTGGCTGCCGAGAACACGTGTGTTTCTGTGTGTTTACAAGCAAATGCGCTCCGGCGTGGCCCAGCCCCAGCGGGAATGTCATCACCAGCTTTGGGCCACCTGTTTCTATGCTGCCTCTTTGTCTCCGAGATAATAGTCAGTGGGAGCTGTGCGTCCTGCCCCCACTGTTAACCCAGAAGTCAAGTGAAAGGGAGCCCGTCCCACACGGGGGTGTCTGCAAGAAGGGCGCCCCACTACTAGGCAATGTGAGCTGAGGTACCCCCAGGTCAAAGGGACATTGGGGGAGAGGCCAGGCTTGAGGGTCCCGGAGCACAGGGACCCAGAAGCAAGAGGCTGGAGGTTGTACTCCCCAGCTGAGGAAGGGAAAAGAACAGATCACACCTCTCCCCACCCCAGGACCCTGAGCCTCAAATGTGACCCCAGCCTCAGGCTTACACCGAGTTCGACCCACAAGATAAGCCAGCCCACGGACATTGTGCACAAGCCCGGGTGTGGGACACTGTGTCCACAGGCTCCCATAGACGGGCCAGCAGTGGTCTCCAAGGACCGCCGCTGTCCCCGAGGCCCCCGAGCCCGCCCCCGGTCAGCACTGCCCACAGCGCCCGCTGCCCCCCACGCCCTCGAGCCCGCCCCCGGTCAGCACTGCCCACAGCGCCCGCTGCCCCCCGGGCCCCCGAGACCACCCCCGAGCTCACCCCCGGTCAGCACTGCCCGCAGCGCCCGCTGCCCCGCAAGCTCTCACCATGTTGAGGTTGGTGAGCACGTAGCGCTCTGTGTCCTCCCCGTGGGCCTGGTGGACGTCGGGACCCGCAGCCACCAGCAGCTCCAGGTTCAGGACATCCCCGGCAGCCCGTCTCCGGAGGCGAGGGGCAGCGGGGCGGCCTGGAGAAGGAGTGGGCAGGGCTGAGAGCCAGGGTCCCGGAAAGAGGGTGAAACGGGGCTCTGGTCAGCTGACCTCAGGGCCCCCCATGGCCAGGCCTCGCCGCCCCCTGGGCTCCTGGGCTCGGAGACGCGGTGGTGGGAAGCCCCCCTGTGCCATCCACTGTGGGGAGGGGGAGCTGGCAGGCCCCGGCCTCAGCTTTCTCGCGGGGGGCTGCCTCTGGCAAAGGGAGACTGAGTGAGCCTAGTTCTTTTCTAATCATTAATTTGCTAAGCATTTTTTCAGTTAGTTAATTAACTGACGTATAGTAACTTACAATGTGTTAGTTTCAGGTGCACCCCACGGTGACGCAGTTAAGTGCGTGTGTGAGCGTGTGTGTGCACGCTCAGTTGTTAAGCCTTGCCTGACTCTGCAGCCCCACGGACTGTAGCCCGCCAGGCTCCCCGTCCATGGCATTCTCCAGGCAAGATCACAGGAGTGGGTTGCTATGCCCTCCTCCAGGGGATCTTCCCGACCCAGTGATCGAACTGGAGTGTCCTGCTTGGCAGGGGGATTCTTCAGCACTGCACCACCTGGGAAGCCCATTTATAAACACACACACACATGTGTATGTGTCCTTTTTCAGATTCTTTTCCCTTTTAGGTTATTACAAAAAAAATTAGCAGTTGAGTAGAGTTCCCTGTGCTCTAAATAGGACCCTGTTTATCTAGTGTGCGTGTGTGTGTGTGTGTATTCAGTCATGTCTGACCCTTCGCAACCCCGCAGACTGCAGCCTGCCAGGTTCCTCTGTCCATGAGATTTTCCAGGCAAGCATACTGGAATGAGTTGCCATTTCCTCCTCCAGGAGATCTTCCCAACCCAGGGATAGAACCCAAGTCTCTTGCATCTCCTGCACTGGCAGGCTGATTCTTTACCACTATACCATTTTATATATAGTAGTGTGTATATACTAACCCCAAGCTCCTGACTTACGCCTCCCCTCCCCTCCTTTGCTAGCTGTAAGGCTGTCTGCAGGGCTGAGTGAGCAGTTCCACACTGGCCCTCCTAGAGCTTTTCAGCGCCCGTGGTTTTGTGCCCTCGGACAGGCACTGACTGAGTTAGGACATCTCTGCCCTCTTCGGGCAGAGAGTGGGTGGTCCCAAGCTCTCACACGTCACTCACGCTGTGACTGTTAGAACAGACGGCTTGGCCGGCTCACAGGAAAGAGGTGGCCAGGTCTTGGGAGGACAGCTGTCTCGGGTGGAGATACTTCATTCCCCTCCTCTGGGCTGACCGGGCATACAGGGCAGTGCAAGACCCAGGAGTCAGCTACGGTGTGGATTCTACGTTCTTCTGGTCACCCCAAAGCCCCACGGTGGGCGCACTGGAGAACGAGGTCACCCCGGGATGGTAAGAAAAGCCCAGGACCCCACCCTGCTTGCAGCAGATGCAGCCTGGGGAAGGCATGAGCAGGCCTGGGGGCGACAGGGCCAACTCCCGCCCTGGCTGTGCCCGGCAGCTGTTGCGTAGGCTTGCAGCGGCCACTTCTCATCTTTGGGCCTCTGGGTTCCCATCTGCAGCGTGGGAACTACCAGTGACCTCTGACCTAGGGCCCAAGGCTCCAAGGCCCACGCCAGTGAATGCGCTTTGCAGACGGTGAACGGCTGTTCAGAGGCAGGAGGTCTACGTGTCCGCCGAGCAGATGGTCTGAGGGCAGGGCTGGTGGCCATACACTCCCCTGGGTTGGCACACCCCGCATGCTCATGAAGGTGGTGCGTGGAGCTCGGCCATCCCGCACGACCCCAGGCATCAGGAGAGCTGGTCCCTCCCCTAGAGCCGACCCTGCCCACAGCCCCCTCCTCCTTCCAGGAGCTGTACCTGCAGTGGTGGGGCCCCCGGGGGTGGGCCTGTGGATCAGGTGGGGCTGTGCTCCCCCCAGGGATGCACCAGCGCCCAGTGCTGCCTCCTCTATGGCTGGATGTAGAACCTGTCTGCACCCAGCAGGACATCACCCTCCTGGAGGACAGACAGCCTTCTGGTCTACCAGCCCTTCTCCTGCCCATTCAGGGAAGGGCCTCGCTGGGCAGTCCCAGCACCAGGCACGGGCTGGCCCTGGGTCTCCCCAGGACTCCTCCCCCAGTCCAAGGCCCAAGAGCCCATCTGTGGGGGACAGCGGGGGGCCCGTGCCCTCTGGGGCTGCACCCGCTGACTGCCACCTGCCGCCAGCCCCCACAACCAGGTACCCGTTCCCCGTCATGTGCTCAGGCTTCAGACCCCAAGCCGCAGGGCCTGGTGAAGACCATGGGCAAGGAGGGAAGGCGTCTCAAGGGCTGCGCTAGGCCTGCGCTAATGGACAGCGCTGCCTGTCACCAGGGGGACCGCGAGTGCCCGCTGTCTCGGCCCAGGCTGGACCGCCCAGCCCGGGAACCTGGCGGCGGGGGGCAGGGGGCGGGGGGTTGTAGTGATATCAGCGGCTCTGCTCACTGAGGGACACTTCATGACAATGCACGACACCAGTCCCCACAGCCCCCAGGAGGCCGGGGCCGCCTTCACCACGCCTCAGTGACAACACAGGTTGAGCGGAGGGGCTGGCCGCGGGTCAGCTGCACGAAGGGGCACAGCTGAGCCTGAACTCAGCTCTGACTGCAAAGCCCATGCTCGTTCCGTTCCCCGTGCCCCGGCCTGCACTCAGATCTCTCCCCTGCTCGCTGGGTGGCCCGAGGGAACTCAGCGGCGTCTCTGAGCCTCCGAGGAGCAGGGCCTCAACTGGGTCAGAGTCTGGCTAAGATCCAAGCGGTCTTGCTCTTGCATCTGGGGGCTGGGGGACACGTTTGCCCCATGGTGTCCCCCCAGCCAGCCTGGGCGCCCACTCATCACGAGGCCCGAGTAGTAGGTGAGCCTGGCTGCTGCATCTGGGGGCAGCAGGGCCCGGCCTCCTGTGAGGCAGGGGTGGGGAGGCCCCCTCAGCAGCCACAGGGAGGCACTGACCACGCGCTAGCTGGTGAAGGAGGCAGCCAGCAGGCCCAGCTCAGGCCGGCAGCGGAAGGAGAAGAGCCGGCCCAGGGCTGCTAGGGAGCAGCGTGGGGCCCTGCAGGGCAGCCCCGCTGGCCCACCCTTGTCCTTGTGCTCGCAGACGCGGGCCGGGGGGCCACGTCGAATGGGGGCACTGCGGGAGACAGGAGGCCCCACGCTCACCCCTGCTTGGCTGTCCGGGTCCTCTTAGGCCCCACTGGCCCACCAGCCCGGCGCCAGGCACCCGACCCCGATCCCAGAGCAGTCACGAGCAGACACCCCTCACTCTCTGCCCCCCGGACCACTCGCCCGCCCTGCCCCTGATCCCCATCAGCCTCTGGATCAAAGTCCCCAGTGGTCCTCATCGGAAAGGGGGCTGGCACCACAGAGATGCCCACAGTCACGGCCCAGGAAGAACAGGAAAAGTCTCTGGCCAGAGTGCGACCCAGTGCCCATCTTGCTTCTCACAGAAAACATAAATGTTTACATCCTGGCCAGAAACCCGTAAGACTTCCTGAGCCGGTCGGCCCAGGCAAGGCTTGGGGGCGGAAGAGACCCGCTAATGAGTGACTGTTGCCTCGAGATACTGAATAGAATCCCAGGGTCAGAACCCCAGCTCGCCCGGAACACCCTGACCAGTCTTTATCAACTTGGCAGAGAGGACCAGAATTAATTAAGAGCGACAGCGGCGCCTGTGACTTCCTCCCAGCAGAGCCTCCAAAGAGCCGGCCCCCTGATTCAATGGTGAGATGCCCCTGCCTCCCCCCACCCCCGCCGCCGTGGGCCCTGAGAAACCCCCGTTGCAAGGGGGCCACCAGGGAGCGTACCTTCAAAGGCAGCGTCGGGGCCAAAGAAAGAGGTCACGTCCCCTGGCTCCAGGACCTGCAGAAACTGCTGTCAGGAGTGAGGGGGCACAGGGAGGGGAGGTGGGGGCCGGGCAAGACAAGGAGCAGGCTGAGCGGGAGAGAGGGGCCCTGGATGGAGGGGGGACAAGCCCCTCAGCCCGGCGTGGACGGCGTCCGCCCCTCACCCTCGCGCACACAGCACTGAGGCCAACTCCATCTCCAGGGAGCCCAATTTGTCCCCTGAACCCCAAGTTCAGACTTCCTCCCCCTCTGCCCAAGCGCTGTTGGGCACACCCTCGCCCCCCAGGGAACCCAGCCCTCAGCCCCAGAAGAGTCTGGATTCCCAGCTCCTGGGCTCCCCCAGCACCGCAGCCCCACGGGCCCACCCACCTGCCGGGGATCAGGGAGCGCCCAGCAGCTCAGGAGGAAGATCGCAGAAGTGAGGGTCCCCCGTGCGGAGGGCGCCATGCTGCCTGCGATGATCTGCGGGAATCCTGGAGCGCCGGGCAGGCGGGCCGCGGGGCTGGGCCAGGAGGTTGGGTTTACTCGAGGGAGCTTCCTCCCAGGGCTGGCGCCGGGGGGACAGGACGGCCTGCTGGCTCCTCCTGGCCGTGCGTGCGCGGGGCTGGGCCCTGACCCAGAGGACTGCCACCCGGCCTGCCCCTGGAACACCGGGCTGGGGTCGGGGATCGGGGCTGGGGGGGTTAGTGGGATTCACCTCCCAGCGGTGTGACTGCCGCGCCCCTAGGGACACCCTGCTTTCCCTGACCTGTCTCTGCGCGCCCGTCCGCATCTCATTCCCTCCCTCTCGGCCACTGCCTGGCCTGTGTCTGCACCCGGCGGCGGCGGCTCACAGCACCAGGCTAGGGACACCGGGCCCACAGGCCCCCTGGGAGGTTCTCGGGAACGTGTGCCCCACTCCCTCCCGCCTCCAGGACGCCTTCCCCGGCTGAGCTGGAGGCTAACGAGGGAGGGGGGGTCCCCACCCCGGGAGGGGGGTCCCCACCCCCGCCCCAGTCCATGTCCACCTCAGCCCCTCTGAGTCCCACTACACTGGGGGCACCTACCCATCCATCTGGGCCGGTCTGCTTCCCATCACAGGCGTCAGGAGTGGTCTGAGCCTCCCCCCTTTATCTGCCATGGGCATCCCACCCCAGTGGGTGGTGCGCACGCCTGACTCCATCTCTGGGAGTGCATCCCGAGACCCAAACTGACACAGGGAGCTCCTCCAACCATCTCACCAACCTGGGCTGGGGTTCTGGACCGGGCTCCCCACCTGGCCCCTCAGCTCGCCCCTCCCCGGTCCATGCCACGTCCTCAGGCCCCAGCCCTGCCCTGAGGACCACGTGCGCCCCGAGCCTCCAGGCCTTGTGATTCGCGGTCTGGCCCCTGCCAGCCTCTGCCTGCCTCCCCAGCCCTCCCCCTGTGCTCGCAGACTCTAACTACATGCAACCTCCCCACCCCCCAGCTTGCCGTCCATCCCTCAAACAGATCCAGAGTTCTGCTCCTCCCTCTCACCTCTGGGCTTCCCGGTCCAGTTTCAGCTAAAACGCCACCTTCCTTAAGGCACCATCTAAATACCCCTTCCCCCACAAGGGGTGCCACATTTAGAAAAAAAAAAACGTCAGGACAGCAACGGAATTTGAATTTCAGATAAACGATGAATTTTTTTCTTTTCCTGGTGTAAGGGTGACAGTAAATGCAAGAAGGCAAAGTGGTTGTCCAAGGATGTCTTACAGATAGCTGAGAAAAGAGAAGCAAAAGGCAAGGGAGAAAGGGAAAAATCTATCCAAATGAATGCAGAGTTCCAGAGAAGAGCAAGGAGAGATAAGAAAGCCTTCTTAAGTGAACAATGCAAAGTAATAAAAGAAAACGGTAAAATGGGAAAGACTAGAGATCTCCTCAAGAAAATGAGCTACCAAGGGGACATTTCATGCAAAGATGGGCTCAATAAACAACACAAACAGCAAGGACCTAACAAAAGCAGAAGAAATTAAGAAGAGGTGACAAAAATACACAGAATAACTATACAAAAAAGATCTTCATGACCCAGATAATCATGATGGTGTGATCACTCACTTAGAGCCAGACATCCTGGAATGCAAAGTCAAGTGGGCGTTAGGAAACATCACTACAAACAAAGCTAGTGGAGGTGAT